TGGCTTTCACAAATCTCACCATTTATCCGGCTCCTTCGGCGGAGATCCGCCGTTTAGAAGAGCCATCTCCTGCAGCCCTCAGGGTTAGCGTTTCCCGGTACTCCGTATCCCGGTCATAATTAGCCGAATGACCGAGTGGCTCTATGAGAGATGCCAACGCTCCAGCGGTGAATCGAATCCACTCTGTTTACTCCTATCCGTACGCCAAGCGCTATTTGACGCCCCTCGGTGCAGGGTATGGCTATATAATAGATGGCCTCCGCAGAGTTCACTCTTGCTTCGTGCAGTACATTCATTCTCTTTCATTCAAACTTCAAGACTGGTCTCTTGATTTCCATTCTTTTTCTTCCATTCAGTCACATTCTTTATCGTCAAACTCGACACTCACTCTCTTTTACATTTCACAATGAAGTTTACCAACATTGTTCTGGCTGCCAGCGCCGCAACAGTGGCCTGGGCATACCCCCGAGGAAGAGATGCTGTCCCCAACAAGCAGAGCGCCGATATTAAGAAGCGTGCAAATGGATTCACTTGGCTCGGTGTGAGCGAGTCCGGAGCCGAATTCGGCGAGGGCAGCATCCCCGGTACTCTGGAAAAAGACTACACCTGGCCCAAGACTTCCCAGATTCAGATCCTGAGAGATGCGGGCATGAACATCTTCCGTGTGCCCTTCTTGATGGAGCGCCTGGTGCCAACCAGCATGACCGGCACCCCGGATGCCACTTACCTGGCCGCCCTTAAGTCTGTACGTGATATGTCCACCATCACTATTGATGCTCCACCCAAGGTCTAACAGTTCCATTCTATAGACTGTCAAGTTCATTACCGACAGCGGTGCCTATGCCGTCCTTGACCCCCACAACTACGGAAGATAGTAAGTGAACCGAAACCGTAACTGCCTACCGTTATTGGTATGATACTAATGCTCCATCCACAGCGCTGGCAACATCATCAGCTCGACCTCCGATTTCAAGGCCTTCTGGAAGACCGTTGCTACCGAGTTCGCCACCAACGAAAAGGTCATCTTCGACACCAGTAAGCCATCCCCATAGTCAAACCCAGATCATCAAACCATCCACTAACACCATCTCCCCAGACAACGAGTACCACGGCCTTGACCAGACCCTCGTTCTGGACCTGAACCAGGCCGCCATTAACGCTATCCGTGCCACTGGCGCCACCAGCCAGTACATCTTCGTCGAAGGCAACGCCTGGAGCGGCGCCTGGTCCTGGACCGACAACAACGACAACCTGAAGGCCCTTACCGACTCTGAGGACAAGATCGTCTACGAGATGCACCAGTACCTGGACGGCGACAGCTCCGGCACCTCCGAGACCTGCGTCAGCAGCACCATCGGCAAGGAGCGCCTCCAGTCCGCCACCGCCTGGTTGCAGAAAAACAACAAGAAGGGCTTCATCGGCGAGTTTGCCGGCGGCGTCAACAGCGACTGCAAGGCTGCCGTTGACGGCATGCTCTCCTACATGTCCGAGAACAGCGACGTCTGGATGGGCGCCGAGTGGTGGTCAGCCGGTCCCTGGTGGGGGTCTTACATGTACAGCTTGGAGCCAAGTGATGGCCCTGCCTATTCGACCTACCTCCCTATCCTCGAGAAGTACTTCGTGGACGGCACTGCCTCGGCCCCGGCCTCGTCTTCTTCACCCGCACCGATCTCTACCAAGACTGCTGCCCAGACATCCACAACCACCGCCGCTATCGACATCACCAGCACCCCCACCAACAACAACGTCCAGGTCCCCAGCTCTGTGATTGAGTCGTCCAGCTCGGCTTCGGCTCCCGCTGAGACTTCCGCCCCCGTCACTCCTGTTGTCCCTACCACCACCACTGTCGCCCCGACTACCCTCGTCAGCGCCACCCCTACCTCCACCGCCAAGCCCAATGCTCAGGTACCAACCGACAGTCCCTCTATTGGAAATGTTGCTAAGCACTACTACCAGTGCGGCGGTATCAACTGGACTGGCCCCACTGTTTGTGAGAGTGGTACCACCTGCGTCAAGCAGAACCCTTACTACTACCAGTGCGTTGTTTAAGGGATGATCTTGTAGGATCAAGCCAAAAGGGGATTTTTTTTGACAGGGTGGCTTGGTGTCAGCGTTTTCTTCCAGTGTCGACTTTTACACTATTCTTATACATTACTTTCTTCTCGATTTAGTTCGATTATATATAAATTCAATTCGAATGTTGCAAATACTGCGTGTATGTCTGATGCGTGACGCTGCTTTCTAGGCCTCGGTGTAGTTATAGAACCGGTTTCCTGCTGTCTTCCCTGTAATGTTTTGTTCGTGTCTTATTCTGATCTGCTCAATACGGATGTGGGACATGTGCGATCATCTTGCGCGCTTTGTTGTAGATCCAAGACAGGAAGGAGAAAGTTGACGTTCATCTTCCTGTGGCCTCTGCTGAAAGTCCAACCTTGCCTCTGGTTTGACCATCTATTATTTCTATGGATGTAAGCCCCAGACTAACATCTCGGATGTGGAACTTAGTAAATTTGTCCCCAGCAAAGATAACTCAAGATAATAGAAAGTATATTCATAACTAGGTAAATATGTCATTCATCATCATTATAGGCATATATTCCTTGGAGTAACTCTGCCAGTGTGGAAGAAACCGCCTAGCTGGGAAACCCCAACCAGAACGCAAGGAACCGCAGAAGGAAAACACAAACATCGCCAACCATCCAGGGACAGATCAAAAGACAACTGAACCAAGCAATCACCTCAAGCATCCTCAGCCTGGTGCAAGCGCACAGTAACCAGATCAGCAGGCGCACTAGTCAAGGTAAGACCGTATCGAATCTTCTGATCGGGATAAACATCCTCAATCCGATCAAAGCGCTGCAAAAGCCTCACAACAACATAACCAGCCTCAGTAAGCGCAAACTGCTGCCCAATACAGATTCGCGGCCCACCATTAAAAGGAATATACTCCCATCCAGCCCTACGACTCGTCCAGCGCTCAGGCTTGAATTGGTCAGCGTCAGGGCCCCACAGGTCCTTACGACGCTGCATAACGTGCGTCGTGTAGATGACCGACTGGCCCTTGCGGATGTAGACTGGGTCCTGGCCGTCTGGGCCGCCACCGCGCGGGATGGTCGTGTCGCGGGTTGCGTTGCGGCGGTTGAAGGGGACGACGGGGTACAAACGTAGCACTTCGTTCATCACGTACTGCAGGTATTGGCAGGATTTCAGGGTGGCAAAGGTGATGTTCTGGGGGTTGGAGTAGGTGCCGAAGTTGGAGATGATGGTTTCGCGGAGTTTGGTGAAGACGTCTGGGTGGCGGGCGAGCATGAGGGTTGTCCAGCTTAGGAGGGAGGCTGTCGTGTCGCGGCCGGCGAGGAGGATGTTGAGGAGTTGGGAGCGTAGCTCGATTGGGTCGCGGGTTACTTCCAGAAGGGCTTCGAGGAAGACGTAGGAGGACTTTTGGGTGTGGGAGGCTTTCTTTTCGGCTTGGGAGGCTGAGAGGGCGTTTGACACGACCTTGTCAACGAAGGAGTGCACTTGCTTGTCGGAGAACTTGGTTTCCTTGTTCTCGGCGAGGAAGGCAAGTTTCTCGAAGCGGCTTCGCTGCGCGCAGACCCATTGGGACTTGTCGAAGTAGTTGGCGAAGGAGTCTTCGGGTCTATTCAGGCCGTTTAGAGCGCCGAGCTGGCTCTCGACACTTTCACCGAAGAGGAACTCTGTGGCAGAGTCGATTGTCAAGCGGAAGAAGATGGATTGGATGTCGGTTGTGGCGGTCCATCCGTTGACCGCGACGGGCAGAGCCTGCATGGCCTTTTGCACATGCTCCTCTTCCAATTCCAGTTGACTGATCTGCTCGCGGGTGAACTGAGGCCGAAGTAGGCCACGGGATCGGCTCCATTCCTCTCCATCGGCGGTGAACTATAAACAGTCAATATCCAGATTGGAGAAAGAATAAATAAGGTATAGCATGTGACTCACAATACCAGTGCCCAGCAGCGGATGCAAGCTAATTTGACGGACAGAACCAAGTTCAAAGTCCTTGAACTGTGTAGCCAGGACAGCCTGGATGTTCTTAGGGTCGATAGTGAAGATGTGAGTGCGACCGAGGTTGCGGATAGAGAATGTAGTGACATAGCGGTTCTCCTGGTCACTAATGACCTTAACCCGCTCCTCGGCTAACTCAGGTACCAGTTTGGCTTTGTCTGCCGCCAGAGACTGTCTCAGGTTGTCGATTCCAAAAGGATCCTTGCAGGGGTACATTGGCACGCTGCCACAGCCCAGACTCTTAGCATTTCGCGAGTGTTGCCATGAGTTGAATACCATACGGATGACCTGCAGCACGACGGCTGCGGCCGCAAATCCCAAGACGAATGACAGAGCCATCCTGTTTAGAGAGTTTGGATTCCGGAGGAGTGCACCTGGAAATCAAATGGCTTTATAAGAATGTAGCGACCTCGGTTCCGAAGCATTAAGTGGGGAAAACCTCCGCAAGGGTATGATCGTCACAGAGCTAGACGGTCAAGAGCCAATCGCGGTCAAAGTGGTTCGGATTTCACACTCTATGCAATTCCTGCACCGATCTGGATCTCGGAGCTGTTACTTGGTGTGCTCGTAGACCCGAGTTTGCGTCGGAGTCGCCGTGTTTTCTTCACCGCATTGTGTGTGAATGTCCATTCTCCCATTCTCCCATTCTCAACAATCTCCTCTAGGTCCCTCTGTATCACCCGACGTGTCAAAAATAAACGGGCTGTGACATCAAGAATGTGCATAACTTGGATAAATTTAATGAAATTTATCCAAGTTGATGTTGTGCATTGACGTGCAAATATCTGGTTTGTGGGGATCCCCTGTCCACGCATTAGCGTGCGTCCACGGGGTGGCTTGGCCGAGGTTATTAAGATGAGTGATCAATTAATTGTAATCAACGTCAACGTCAAACGACACACCCTCAACCTCAACTGAGTTCTCTGATAATCTAGACAATTGGAATATTATCATTTCAGCTCTGCAGATGCACCATGGACATGCTATCGTCAAGGTCGTTCCTGGAACTGTCACAAGAAGAAGCAGAAATATCAATAAACACCTTTTCCAGAGAACTGAGCCATCTAAGAACAAAGGGAGCCCAATCACCGGAGATCCCCGACCAACTGACCGACAGCAAGTCGGCCCCGGCTCGTCCCGTGCGGAAAAGAGGCCGGCCGAAATTAGAGGCTAAAGATGCTACTGCTATCGAGGTAGATCCCGGCCCTGCGACCGAAGTACATATTGTTGACCAGCTCCACAGGAACGTCGTCTGCAGATCCGACGGGCACAACGCACCTATCGTCTCAAAAAGGAGAATACCATCCAGACTCTTAGGTCTCGTGTCAATCTACTAGAGCAGACACTAGAGAATGTATCAGATCTCCTAGACGGAGCCCACCGCGAGGCAATCAACCACCTCAACAACGATCCGACTCTTCTGCCAAGCGTGGACTATCTCGCTCGCACACGAGAGCTCATTCTAGCAGAAATAAACAAGGCCCGGTTCACCGAGAACGACGATGATCTCCAACTCCAGACCAACCATCCATCGACGGACAAGCCCACCTTCGGCTACAAAGTGTCACACACGCGTCCCCAGAAGGACTCCAACATCCCCTCTTCATACCCACAATACAACCGACCCCGCTCCCCATCCCCACTAATAAACCGCATCCTCCCAACAACAACGATCTACACCTACAGCCACCAAGAATCCAACCTCTCCCGCCGCCTACACAGATTCAGCCTCGAGCATACCTACCGCTGGCTAACAGACCCCCGCACCGATCCCGCCCTCCTAAGCCGCGTCTTCGGACTAGTCCCCTGTATCCACGACATGGCAGGCATAAGACGTAGTTTCCGGCGCACGCTGCAGTCCGAGATCGGGAGCGGGCTTGAATTCGTTAAGATGCCTTTCTACACGCTCGGCGGTGCGGGTAAGCACTTCCCGCGCGTGGACGGCGACGGAAACCCCGTGTACCCGGAGAACATTCGGAGACCTGGGAAGATTCTACGACGGATGGTGAGGATTTTGCAGCGGGGTGGGATCCAGGATTGGGATGAGGATTGGAGTGGAGAGCAGGAGCCTGCTGTTGCGTTGGAGGGAGGGGTGGATGAGCAGGTGCAGATGAGTGAGGAGGAGAGGATTCGTTCGCTGGATCTTGATGGGGAGTGGTTTGATTGCCATGATGTCCAGGGGTATCTGGAGTATCGGGGTCTTGTGCTTGATGGGTCGGGGTTGAGGCTCGGCGTTCCGGAGAGTTTGGTTGGGGCTTTGTATGGCTTTTCGCCGGATCGGCCGACTGTTTCCAGTCTTTATCCTTCTCCTGATGGGTCTCCTCCTATCGATAAGATGGAGTCGGAATCCTCGACCTCGTCGTATACTCTGGATGTTGAGTGTTTCTTCGATCGTGAGTTAGCCCTCGATAACGTTTGCTCGTTGTATCCTTGTCAATATCACTGACATGAGTGCAGTACTACTCGCAAATCTCAGAATTCTCGGCCGCGCGCCAGGCTTCCGACTATGGGATGTAGACGCCGCATTGCGATCAGCGATCTCCCGTCGCCCTTTTGGTTAGCTAAAACACAAAGATTGACAGACCAGTCCTTCCATGGATATAATGACTATTTGACGAGCTATGATTAGAATGATCATCTACTTATATCACATCGAACACAAGAATCTGAAATTGAACTCCATTACTGGCATTGTTCTGGGGTATAGCGTAGAAAGATCCAGTACAGCAAAAAAAGGAAGTCCATCAAGTAATCACATCAAATCGCATCACATTAAAGACCGCCAATGCCACGCGGTAGACGATGAATCCCGTCCAAGATTCCAAGAATTAACCCTAACAGGGCCGAGTCCATCAACATTGTCGCATGAGCGCATCGGCGGCCACAACCTGATCTCATCTGATCGTCTAGCAGCAAATCTCACAGCACTCGAAGCAGGCGATACCGGCGCAACTGGGTTAAGTTAATTTTCTGGAATTTTATTGCGCGCATGACCGAATATGTTTCGGCTTGGATTCGGAGGGGGAGAGAGGGGAACGTACACTCCGCAGCAGATACCACCACCGCCACCACCACGCAGCTGCATTTGTTCTTGGCCGGCCTAGATGCGATAGATGTTAATTTTTGTTCAGGAAATATGAGTTATTTTGCTATGGGTTATGGTCATAAACACATACCGGCTGCTCGGTGACGACGTTCTTGTTGCTTGAAGGGGCAGCGGGGCTGGTGGGCTGCATGGTGACGGTATTGGCGTTCCAGCTGTCAGTGGTGGGCTCGTTGGCCGGGGCAGATTTGAAGAAGTTGAAGTTGAACATTGTGGTTTGTACTATGTGTGTAGTGTACAAGGTTGGAGATAGTAAGGTGTGGGATAAAAGATATAGAGAACGAAGGGAAAATGGAAAGCAGAAAACAGAAGAGAGAAAAGGGCGCTATATGTAGTTTCCAATAATTTGGACGATCGGCTGAAAAATAAGCCAAATGAAACAACTAGCGCCCGAGACAGGCCCTGGGGAAATTACACGCTTACACATTCCAATACTCTACAGGGCTAGTATGCGAGTCCAGATGGAGCATTCAATGTTGCTAAGTATAGCTCGACTAATTAGAATGATGCTGCCTGGTAGGGACCACAGTGAGGCTTTGCAGTATACGTAGGGCTGTATTCTCCAATTATTGTCTATATTTACTTCAATGACTGTGGCTATGTCCGCGGATACAAGGTAGATATGGATCGCACAGCCTCTTGGAGCTTGTTCTTCAGGAAAGCCATGGAGCTGGGAAATTCAGAAATCCATCGATGGACTTCAGCCTTGTGGGCAGCCAAGGCCTTGGCAGACAGCTTGTATTGCTTGTATGTATTAATTGTATTGTTACTGACATGCTTCAATGTTTGTGATGTGCACATACGTATCTTAGAAGGTCAAAGGACTGTACGATCATATATGACCTGTGGAAAATTGAGGAACTTGAAAAGTGTATGTACATATGCAAGCAAAATATCCCTCACAGCTTCGAGAGAATCCCATCCGGCCGCAAAACAGAAAGATAACGACTTTGGATTTCGCTGATCGTCCGGCACCTGCTTCCGATTAGCGCTTTTATTCTTTTTTTTGCATTCCAGAAGAACAATTCACTTACCCAGCTAATGCCATGGTGATCCTCAATTCTTGGCGGAGGATCTTAATCGCCAGTTCGACACCTTCTTGTCCGTTATACTGTATTTGGTCAGTCCCAAACAAAATAGAAAAACAGGAGAAGCAAACACATACAGCCAACCCCCAGAACGGAATCCTTCCGACAAAACAGAAGCTAGCCCCCAACGCCAGAGCCTTGAAGATATCCGAGCCTCGTCGGATACCTCCATCCACCGCAATCGGGATTCGACCCTTGGCTACTGGGGCACAGACCCGCAGTGCGTCCAATGTCGACGGCATGCCGTCCAGTTGCCGGCCTCCGTGGTTCGAGATGACGATACCGTCGATGCCATATTTGATGGCGAGTTCTATATCTTCGGGGGTAGTTACTGTATCGCCAATTGTCAGTGAAACTGCGAGCTTATTTACTAATTCGCTCAACAAACATACCACCCTTAAGCCAGATCCTCAGAGATGTATGTTGTCTCAACCAAGGAATCGTTTCCTCCCAGTCCAAACTGGGGTCTATAAAACATCAGCATGTCCTCCATAGCCTCACACCAACTTCACAGATCAACTTCACAATACATACCGTAGTCAGTGCGGTCCGAGTGATCCGCTCCGTGACTGAGGATGTTCGGCCATGACATATCATCTGGGATGGTATACTCATTCCGATATTCGTTAATGCGCTTGCCTAGCACGGGTACATCAACAGATAGGAACAGCGCCTTGTACCCAGCCTCTGAAAAAGCATGTTAGCCCAGCCGAGTCTATGAAACCATGGAAATAAGCATTCAGGGTACGACATACTCTCCGCCCGGTCTAACAACTGAAGCGTAATGGACCGATCCCGCAATACACACATCTGCATCACATACGGATTCCCGGTCCCCTGTGCGGCGACTTCCTCGAGCGGATAATTCGAGTACGAAGACAGGCCCATGGCAAGGCCGAATTTTGCAGCTGCGCGCGACGTCGCGAGCTCGCCGTCCGGGTGGGCGAGTTTCATTGATGCGGCCGGGCTGAAGCCAAATGGAAGCGAGACCTGTTATTCGATTGTTATAGTTGGCACTGGGTTCGTTTCTGTGCGGGGAAAGTCGAAGGATAGCACACCTTGCTACCAAGGAACTCGGTGCTTGTGTCGATTTGGTCGACGTTGATTAAGACCCGGGGGCGGATCTTATAGCGGTCGTAAGCTGTTTCGTTCTCGTTGAGACTAGACAATGTTAGGGAGATGGACTAGTCGTTGTGTTTCGAGAGTTCATACGTGATTAGGTCCATAGCTCCTCCATTGTAGTAGTCTATGGAGGGTCAGTTCTGACACAGTGCATCGCCTTTGTGAACTGATGACACTCACCTCTGACCATTGGAGCCAGCCGACTGCTCCCCATTTTCTTCAGGTCAGCAATGCAGCACACATCTTTGTGAAGGGTCTCTCCGCGGTGAGCCATTGTGCCGTGCGCGTTGGGATGTGATGTAGAAATTGTCTAAGAAGATCCGATAGAGCAAAAGATGGCGCAGTTCAAATAAGAAGGATTCCCGGCGACCTCTCCCCTTCCGAGGTCCTTTTCCATTGCCGGATTGAGTTACGCACAAGTAGCGTCTCTCTGCTATAGATTGGTTGTGGGGTTGATTTCCTGTTGTGGAAGACGATCATCGGAGTTGCTTGCCAGACTCAGATTCCCTGGTTCACCTTACCAAGACACTATTTACGATGTATACAAATACAGCGCCAGCGCCGGTCATACAATAGCGAGGATATTGTGCGTGACCTAGCCAAATGTGTTGGGTATAAGCCTGGCAAGAAAAGGCTCTACAAAGAAAGAATCAAAGTTGCGGATCAGGACACTATGTTCCAGATATCTGGAGCGACCGCCGTGTCAATTTCGATTATACCTAGTTAACAGCCACTTCTGACAAGATCTTCAACGTTCTCAACGCAATGAAGTCCACGACGTTATCTACATATAATACCCGGTCAAACGGGCTGTTGACGGCGTTATTTTCAACCGGCCTAAATTCAAAATTTGCCTTCTTGTCCAACTTGTCCATGGCAAACAGAGAGGCGATCTTAGTTTGGACGAAAGGAAGTTGGAAGAGCAGGTGATTCCGAGGAGATAAGCCGATAAGAGATCCATGGATCCTATTTAGAAGGCGTTTCCGACAGTGGGGTTAGCTATGACTTCGACCTTCCATTTTCCAACATGGAAATGGAATCAGCAATAAGTTCCTTTTAGATTGAATATATATCAAATCCTTCGAAAATGGTGACATCTAAACGATCAAGACCTCGCCGATCCCATGCGTTGGGAGGGTGCAGCACCTGCAGACGTCGGCATGTGAAATGCGATCAGAAACGGCCCGCGTGTCGCACCTGCCGGGCCCTAGACGTGAAATGCGAGGGATATTCCGATCAGGTCTTGTGGATGCGCACTGATAATGGCGAACAGGTTGAGAGTGCTCGTGGGACTCGCCGGTATCTTTATTCAGGTATATGACCCTGAAAGTATGAGACAAATTGGACTTCTTGGTACTAACCCTTGTGCTAGAGCAATCCAGACTTTCTATGAGCACTGCGCTTGGGTCTGATCTTGTATCTGGCTCTATTGATGCATCACTGGCAGAGGTTGACTCGAGACTGCGAGACCCTGAACGATCACTCGATGGTGACATTGTCATTGGTCCCTTTGCGGTTCTCGATTTTTCTTCAGCACCACGGAAGCTAGAGCAAGAGTTGCTGCACGAAATTGAGCCCGCCACGTCTGATATAAGCCCTGCTGCAGTCGAGGCGTCTGAGACTGTGGCTCCTGAGAACCTGCAAGAGTCTAATCCCTCTCCAATACTTGATTCACTCTCTCAGATCGATGACTTCCTCCATTGGTCAGATCTATTGAGCTTTGGTCTAGACCAGACAGAGTTTGCAACGAACGGTGCTTTGTGTATGCCGAATGATTTATCTTTTGATATGAGCCAAGAGATGGGGTTGCTACCCATTGACTCAAACCACAACGATGATCTACTGCAAACTTTCACAACACAACAGGCACCAGCAGAGCTTATTTCTGCTGATGTAGATACACTGCAAGATGCCCCGTCCCTGCTTAAACATTTCCAGGATATTGTGATCCCACACATAATGGCCATTCCCTGTCGGCAGAAATCTCCCTGGAAGATTTTGAATGTGCCGGCGGCGGTGGTTACATACAGTGACTCGACATTTCTTGGGACGGAGAAGGTCAGTCAGGCTAAACTTGCAAATTTGTATGGCTTGCTCGCCTGCTCTGCTATTCATCTTGTTTTGAACCCTTCGACAATATCGACAAAGCCGCCTGAGTATTGGTGGAAGGTTGCCAACCAGGCATACCTGCAAGCTAAGGATCGTATGCAAGCGTCTTTGCATTCAGAAACACAAGGTTTAAAGAAAGCAAAGTATAAAGACCAGCTGATGGCTGCATGCATCCTCATACAGTACACGGTGAGTTTTTCATTTGACATTAGTTGAATGACTCTGACTCCCACAGATCATGTCCGGTCAGCAACAACACGCCCGATGTTTTATGATTGATGCAGAGCGGCTACTACGGCTTCGAGGACTTTCAAAGACCCGAATTTCGAAAAAGGCGCGCCTTTTGCACCACGTTTATACCTGGCTAAGAATAGTCGGCGAGAGCACATTTGTTCTACATGACTACAACCTTTCTTCCTCCTCCCTCGAAGCACTTGGTTCTCGATTTCGATTACAATATACACCGAACTCAGAACAAATGGGGAACTCTGAGCCAAACCCTCGGCTAGACGATTTCCTCCGCCTCGAAACACAAAACTCGGATAGTGATCTGAATATCGATGAGCCCAAGGACAAGACTTCGGGTCTTCACGATATCCATCTCCAAGACTCACGAAGTTATCCTGAAACATTATACAAGCAAATTTATGGCATCCCAGAAACCTGGCTTGGCCTCGTCTCGCAAACAACGAGACTAGCCAACGTTTTGGAGACATTCCGTATTGCTCGAGAGGCCGGTCACACCATGAATCTCGAAGCATGGGAAACACTACAGCGACGTAGCACGCGCCTGGAAAATATGATCTGCTCTTTCAGTCTAGGCCGAACAAGAGCCGGAGTTCTGGAGCTCCACGCCGATTCAAAACCGCACGGTCATATGGTGGAGGCCTTGAATGCAGCTCTAGTAATTTTCTTTTACAGGCGAATCCGAAAGACCCACCCTGCTGCTTTGCAGGGTCATGTTGATAGTGTTATTGCAGCGCTTCAGGCGTGCAGCGCGGCATTGACCCAAGATGATCCCACGGGACCCGGGACGGCGTGGCCGTTGTTTATTGCAGGATGTGAGGCAATATCAACCGCAAGGCGAGAGGCTATCATGAGCATGTTAGATAGGGCGAGCTCAATATGTGGTTTTGCCGCTTTTGGGACGGCCAGAAATATTATCACTGAAGTGTGGCGCAAGCAGGATGAGCATTTGACTGCCAACAGGGGTGAATCGATGCCATCGTGGGTTGATATTGTGAAGCAAGGACAGATATGGCCCTTGTTTTGTTAACTTGGCTGGTTTTTCTCGTCTTTATTATACTTTACGATTTGTATTATGCACTTTTATGACGCAATGAAGATGATTCTAAGGTAATATTCTATAAAGTATGTACATGGATAGTACGTGTCGCATTCTCATTCCAACATTCAGGCATTCCAAATCATCAAATCAACAAAAATCTAAACAGTCTTAACACCGGCATTCTGCAACAATTGCTTAAGCTCCGCCGTCAACTCCGGGTTGAGAAGAGCAAAAGGCTTGCGCAAGCCACCAGTGGGCTGGCCAACCAACTCAACACCAGTCTTAACAGCAGCGGCATAGTTATGCGACTCAAGGGACTTGCAAATGGGGAAAGCCTTAGCCCAAATCTCACGGCCACGCTTCAAATCCCCCTTGACCGAGACAGCATCATAAAGCTCAACGGCCAACTCAGGAATAATATTCGCCGCACCCCAGACACCACCAGGGGCACCAGCAGCAAGACCATAGAAAGTCAAAGTATCCCATCCGTTAAAAGAGGTAATCTGATCTGATAGAGAAAAGATAAGCTCAGTCAGGGCCGGCGCATTACCAGAGGTATCCTTCAGATACTTGACGCCGACCTTAGACAGTCCCGCAATCTCAGTGGGGGACAGAGTGATGCCGGACGCAGAAGGAATATTATAGAAGACGATGGGCAGACCCGAGGCAGTGTGGATCTCGTTGAGCAGCTCGTGCAGCTGTTCCAGGTTGACGGGGTCGTAGAAGGGGGGCACGACCATTGTGGCGGCGGCGCCGGCTTTCGCGGCGTGTACGGAGAGCTCGACGGCCTCGGCGGATGAGAGACTGCCTGTGCCGGCGACGACGGGGACTCGGCCAGCGGCGAATTTAATGCACAGCTCGGTTAGCTGCTTGCGCTCGGCGAAGGTCATTGTGGTGAATTCGCCTGTGCTGCCGCCGGGAACGAGACCGTGCACACCTGCTTTGATCAGGTGCTCAATGTGTGCTTGCAGACGGCCTTCGTCGATTGCGGTCTTGTCGTCTGTGAAGGGGGTGATCAAGGCCACCATGATTCCATAGAGGGGGTCCATTTTGGAGGTAGGTATAGGAAGTGCAAGGAGTTTGTTTGGAGAGAAATATGCTGAGTATGGCGGGGTCGAGGAAATGGTCATGATCTAGATATAGTTGATCTGATTATGGAATCTCCTACCGTTTCTATATTCATGATTCTATCTACTCCGAACTATAGAGGAGTGACTTGCCGTATCGGGAAGGGTTTCCTATTTAGGATGTATCCCCACCATCGGATTGAGGCTTCTTTCTCTTCTCGGTGATTTTTATTATAATTCTAGGTTGTTTCGATTGGGATCCTGCTTCATAGGGGTCAAAGTGACAAGATTGCCCAAGTTGTATAGGACTTAGAAGGCCGGACGGCACGCATGACATGCAGATCGTGCTATGCAGGGTATCCCGCAATGGCCAGACAGGGATCGGGATATTACCGATGGCTTTGCATGTGGACTGTGCTTCCAACTGGTTGAGGATATACCCCGAAATGATCTATCTGCGGGGTCTAAATAAGGCTGTTGAACGTCATTGCATCCCCGACACCAGTACGGAATACTTTGTAGGTCAATTGGCGTTGGGCTTCGAAACTAGTTTGTTGTATTCTTATTCTTTCTGCGTCAACCTCGCATTCCAAAAATATTCCCTTCTTCTTGTAATAGATATGTCTACCTAAAAAGAGCCCCAGAGAAATATACAATGGAGCGACACGTTAGGGCTGAGAACATGGCTAACCGAAAAAAGCAAGAATGCACCTTAATCCGACATGAGAGTCCGGCATATCCATTGATCGAATAATTGAAACTAAGCCGAGGTACTAAGACTAGGATAAATTGTGAATAACCATTCTATCTATTTTACCCACCACAACAAAAAATCACTGACATCGCGGAGAGTATATCGGAAGGACTTGCCTGAAGGAGCTTAACCTCATTGGAGAAATATCCTATATCATACCCCACGCTCCTTGAGAGATCAAACTTCTATTATACCCAAAAACAGAGCCAAATGGACCTCTTCATTGATATCGTCACCCCCAACGGGCACAGCTACAAGCAGCCTACCGGCCTCTTCATCAACAACCAGATTGTACCCGCCACAGGAGGCCAGACCATCACATCTCTTGACCCCGCGTACGTCATTATCGGAATTGCTCCGCGCACCTCACTAACTATTGTCTAGTACCGACAAGCCCATTGCCACCGTCCAAGCAGCGAGCGCCGAAGATGTCGACCGCGCGGTGAAGGCTGCCAAAGCGGCCCTGGTCCACCCCTCATGGAAGTTGCTTCCCGCGACAGAGCGGGGCCAGTTGATAGCCCGACTCGCTGATCTCATGGAGGAGAACAGAGCGCTGTTCGCTTCTATCGAGGCGTGGGATAATGGTATGTCTAGAAATCACCAAAAAAGAGAAAATTGCTCATTCAAGTGGAAAAGGAAAACCCTACCACGTCGCCCTTGACGAAGATCTCACCGAGGCAATTACAACAATTCGCTATTACAGTGGCTGGGCTGATAAGACCTTTGGCCAAACCATCAACACAATTCCCCAAAAGTTCGCCTATACAATCCGACAGCCCATTGGTGTAGTTGGCCAGATCATTCCATGGAACTATCCCCTTTCAATGGCCACCTGGAAGCTTGGCCCTGCACTAGCATGTGGAAACACAGTTGTCCTGAAGCCAGCCGAGCAGACCCCTCTCAGTGCCCTCATTCTCGGCACCTTGATCAAGAAGGCTGGATTCCCTCCAGGTGTAGTGAACATTGTCAATGGCTACGGGCGCGAGGCTGGCGCCGCGCTCGCTTCGCACCCATTGATCGATAAGGTCGCATTCACAGGATCAACAATTACCGCCCGGGAGATTATGAAAATGGCCGCCGGCACACTCAAGAATATCACTCTCGAAACAGGCGGCAAGTCCCCGCTGCTAGTTTTCCCAGATGCGGATATGGACCAGGCTGTCAAGTGGTCGCATGGCGGTATTATGTCCAACAAAGGCGAGATCTGTACCGCCACCTCGCGGATCTTCGTCCACCGCGATATCCTCGAATCATTTACTGCTAGCTACAAGACTGCAGTGGAGAGCGCGAAGATCGGCGACCAGTGGGACGAGTCGGTCTTCCACGGGCCGCAGGTGACGCGCCCGCAATATGACCGTATCCTCTCCTACTTCGAGATTGCTAAGAGTGAAGGAGCTACTATTCTCACTGGTGGTGCTGCTTACACGCCGACAGACGAGAAGAATAAGAATGGGTACTTTATTCAACCTACCGTCATTGTGAATGCAACGGATTCTATGCGCATTGCCCGCGAAGAAGTGTTTGGTCCCGTCGTAGTGATCTTCCCCTTCGACAATGAGGAGGAAGCTATCCGCCGGGCCAACGACACCACTTACGGCCTAGGCGCGGCTGTCTTCACGCGTGATCTGGAGCGTGCTCACCGCGTGGCCGCTGAGATTGAATCCGGCATGGTCTGGATTAACAGCAGCCAAGACTGTGACCCCCGTATTCCTTTCGGTGGCGTGAAGCAGAGTGGTATTGGACGTGAGTTGGGAGAGGCAGGTTTGGAAGCATATAGCCAGATTAAGGCGGTTCATGTGAACATGGGCACCAGGCTCTAAATGGGCCTAGGAAGTACATTGCACAATAGTAATATAGATTTTGCTAGAGATTCCTTTGCTTCTTGTACATAGAAAGGCCATGTTGTGTTGTTTTTAGTTGGCGCCTGATTGTTGGTGCCTGATTCTTCAGCCTGGAGACCTCACTAGGTCCTGCTTACTTGTGTGAAGGCTTCTCCTTCTTCCCCTCTTTGTTCTCTCCTCCAGTCCAGTTCTCTGTTAGCTTGCACTGATTGACTACACTCCCCTATTTCCTGTTCCTGTCGATAATTGACCAGTAAGCGCCCAGCACGAATGAGGGGTAAGCCCACAAAGCTGAGATCAACAAGACGTCTTTCCCTCTGGCCAAAGAAGAAAACATGGGTCTCAAAAGTCTTGTGTCAAAATTGAAACGCCACGCGCCTGCAGAAGATCCTATCAGCCATTCAGGTCCATTATCTGGAAGTAATAGCAAAGCGATTCTCTCGCCTTCAGTCCCCAAAGACACAGAGAGACACCTTCCACCGCAGAAACTAACTACCGACGGGCGTGACTTGTGGCTTGAAGCCTTTGAGAAGCTGCCTCGCAAGTCGCAACATGAACTCGAAAGACGAGGCATGAACCGACAAGGCTCTGGGAGTATGGTCGATCAGGTCAAGGAATTTCAAAGAGAGGCGGAAACACAGCGGGATAGAAGCCTGGCTAAAGATTGGAAGGTCCAGATAGGCAACCATGAGATCCCAGTGAGGCAAACTACCCTCCAGATCGTCCACTGGGCAGAGAAAATTGGGGATGTGGCCATCCAATTTGCGCCAGTTGCCGGCGCTGGAGGAGTGTGGGCTGTGGCAAGATCAGTTCTCCAGGTCGGTTCTTTATATCGGAAAGTACAAGCCAATTCTTACACAGTGGGGAATTCAGGGAATTGATACATTTGACAAAGAAAAGAGCGCCCTGCTTTCTGTTGTTGACAAAGTGGCGGGCGCCACCTTCTGCGGGCAGGTCTACTACGAGATATACAAGCCCGAGCGGACGGGCAGAAAGGATGTCGTCGATAGGCTTCACGATGCCATCGTGGCGTTGTATGGGTGCGTGTTGGAACTACTGGTCACATCGTCTGATCTTTCGTCCAACACTGCCGTGCAATTTTGCCAGGCTGCTTTTGACTCCACGAAGCCATCCGGCATGCTGCTAGAATTGGAGAAGTTGGAACAAGAGCTTGCAAAAGCGGCTGGTAAGTGTGAAGATACGGCTCACGCACACCAGGAAGTTATTTTCAAGGATTATCTCCAAGAAGCTCAGAAGTCCCTCAACAGAATCACTCGTCATATGGAACATGTCTTCCAGTGGGTCAATGACCAAGAACGGAGAGATCTTCTCGAATGGGTCTCAGATATCCAGTATGGCCGTCATCACGATGAGATCGAAGAAAGAAGAGAGCCTGATACCGGTGATTGGCTGGTTCAAGATGAGAGATTCCGCGAATGGATGGATTCACCCTCATCCAGTACCCTGTGGCTTCAAGGATCTCGTGAGTTTGCTTAATCTTCGAAAGATATTATGCCTCTGACAAAAGGTAGCTGGCACGGGAAAATCATTTTTGACTTCAGCTGTGGTAAAGCATATCGTGGACACGAAGGGATCCCAGATGGAAGGATTTGGCTATTTCTTCTGCAACCAAGATGAGAAAGGCCGGCGGGAATCACTGCCAGTGCTTCGAAGCCTAGTTCGCCAGTTCGCTGCTCCAAAAAGCACTACCGAATCGGTCAGAAAGAGCCTCCGAGATGCACGGGAACGAGCAACTAATAGAGCATCACAACTCAGCTCCTCGGAATGCCGTCGTCAGCTCGTGGAATCATTCAATCTGTATTCAAAAAGCGTCATCATTCTGGACGCCTTGGATGAAGTTCTTGACGATGAACTTGATATTTTGATCGAGGCACTTGAGGATGCCATTGCCGAGACTAGAGACAGAGGCAGAGTAAAACTTTTCGTTGCCAGTCGGCCTGAGAAAAACATTGGCGCGAAATATGGCTCAAGTTCAACGGTCATCATCCAGGCTCAGGACAACAAAAAGGACATTGAGAAATTTGTGACCAAGGAGATGGATAAATTTGGCAAGAAGCATCCCAACTCGGAACTTACCGCTATGAAGGACACGGTTATCCGAGTTATTCTTGACAAATGCGACAACATGTAAGACCCCATATGACGAGTGAACAAGTTCTACACTAACGAGAACAGGTTCCTGTGGGCCGCCCTCCAGATAAAGCAAATGGTACAATGTAACACAGTTGAGACGATCAATTATGCACTGGAAAATCTGCCGAAGGGGCTGGGTGGGATGTATGATCAAATATATCGGAAAATCCAAACCCGACTCTCGCCGGAACAAGCTATAGCAGAATGTGCTCTCAATTGGGTGCTGTGTACTCCTTATCCGCTCACAAGTGAAGAACTCCTCTCCGCAGTCCGCATGGCTATTGAGAAAGACAACATCAAGTTGAGGAGTTCTGTGCAACAAGAGTCTTTGCTCTCAATCTGTGAGAACTTGCTCATAGTTGATACCGATGGTCGATGGAGATTTTTCCACCTTTCAGCGAGGGAGTATCTCGTGGAGATCCCTGGGATATATCAACGAGCACGCTCTTACTGTGCGCAGGTGTGCCTTCTGTCTCTTATGCGAACGTCTGACCCAGCAACGCTCCCTGGAAGCTTCGAGGATCCATTTAATCAGATACATCCTTTCTCTCACCACACCCAGACCTGCTGGGCGTTCTACGTTCTTGAGCAGCCTGAGGACGATCAGTCTGTCATTTTGCTAAAGAAATTCCTTGGTTCACCCGACAAAAGTAGCGCCTTTTACATCCAGTGGTTAAATCACGTCTCCGAGAACAGTCTTTCAGTTCAATTACCATCCCGGGCAGGAGCAAATTTGTCCTATGAAGACCTGGCACCAGGTACGACACCAATGTTTACTATAGCCCAGTTCTCCTTGTATGAGGAGACTCTCCGCGAATGGTGCGACAGCAATAATTTTGACCAATTTCAACAAAATGACCGTGGAGAAGATTTGCTCACGATCGCTGCCGCGACTAATTGCATACCTTTATGCGCCACTCTTATTGCAAAGGGAGTTTCCGTCAACCAGTGCGGTACTAGCGGCAGGTATGGCAGCGCCCTTGCAGCCGCAGCCGCATGGGGTAGACTGAATACAGTCAAATACCTTGTGCAGGAGGCAAAAGCAGACGTGAATGTCGCGCTCGAGAGTGGGGATTACGGCAGTGCACTAAATGCCGCCGTCGCGAGTGGAAAATTGGATATCGTAAGATATTTTGCGGAAGAGGTCAAACCAGATGTGAACCTTCTAATTCATGTAAAAACACATGGCAGTGTGCTTGCCGCCGCTGCCTTCTCCGGTAAGCTCGATATTGTGAGATACCTCGTGGAGGAAGCAAATATCGATGTGAATCTTCAGCTTGGCGAGGGCACTTTCGGTAGTGTGCTTGCTGCCGCTGCCTGGGGAAGTCTCACTGTAGTGAAATATCTGGTGGAGGAGGCAAAAGCAGATGTGAACCTACCGCTCACAGCTGGCAATGCACTTGTCGCCGCTATCTTGAGTGGAGATCTGGATATCGTGCGATACTTTGTGGAAGAGGCAAAAGCAGATATGGATGTCCTACGTGAGGATGAGTTTCTTAGCATGGTACTTGAAGACTATAGTAAAGAGGATGCTGTTGCGGTCAGGGATATTCTGAAGTTACCCAGTGATCAAGAGGCAGGAGATGGGCACTGAAGCACTGAAATGGAAATGATATATGAACGGTAAAAAAAGGGTCTACACATGTACGTATGAATGTCGGGAAAACTCATTTTATATTCGGTCTTTATCAACTTTATCAAACACACCTACGCTTTACTTGAACTATGTATTATGTATTGCTCTACCAAGGGCGCTCAGATCTACATTATTGAAGGATCCAAGGCAGATTATTAGCTACTTTGTTACATGTCATCTATTTAATATCTAGTTCGATACCCCCGCCCAGCACATATGGCTGGCGATGGACACCCTGCACTATCGCTTTACCTGCGCCAGATCGGCTGCGTTCAGCGATGCCTGATGCATCTCGCATGTTACACATACCCACACATATCCATATCGCATGTGATTATCGTCCAACGGTTCCAATCCCCGAGCAATGCTTGCCGATGATAAGTACTTGTCTGAGACCACAGGCTCGGAGCTTTATACGTATCGTGCCCACAATATCTACGTGAAGCTTTGCAGCCCATTGATCTCCGCTTCAAGGCAATATATGAGCGGGGTAAGCCGAGTCAAAATCTCCAACCCAATTGGCGAAGCTATGGGCCCCGGGCTTACCTGCATATGTAGTGGAAGGGGCTCTGGAGGAAGCTGGTGTACCCATTATGTATGACGATTATCCCAGTTACCCCCATTATTTCTGGACGTATCCTTCTCCGGCTCTGGCGAAGGCTTCGGAGGAGTTTCAGGCGAGCATGTGTGCGATAAAATGGATCAATACTGGTTTGGTCCCTCTTTATATTCAGCTGAGACAGTTGAGATGGATGAATGGAAGGCCATGAGAGAGAAGGAGCCTCAGGCTGCAAGGCTGCCAACACATGTCATTTGAATCAGTTACTTTGTTAATTTACATATGTACTGCATACTTAATAATAAACTGGACAATTTTTACGAAGAAGTAGCCGAAACTTAAGTCTGTCCGAAGAACGCCCCCAAAAATAAGCGGCAACCCCCCACATGTGAAAGTACTTAGTCTCTTGCACTTCGCATCCTGCAACTACCAGCCCCCTAAACTCTCAGCTCAACATGTCGTGCCCCAATTGTTTTAGTGGTCATGTCCATCAAGGCACTCCCCGTGGTGAAGTGACCTCCCTCCATAACTTGCAGGCCTACACGACCAAACCTCTAAACGATGTACCTCACCGGGGAATTATCATCATAGTGCCCGATGCCTTCGGCTGGGAGTTTGTGAACAATCGGATCCTGGCTGACAACTACGCCGAAAAGGGGAAGTACCTCGTTTATCTACCTGACTTCATGAACGGTATGTTCTAGTGTCATCAAAGATCCCAAAAATAACCCGCTAAGCGGAATATCAGGGCACGCCGCCCCGGTCGGTATGATGTCTGCGACAAAGGAGGTGTTGAAGACGAGCGGACTGGCAACCTGGCTTATGAAACCGTAAGTCAATGAAACAACAGCGCGGGTCGCGCTTGTATGAAACGACCACTAATTCAAACTATAGATACCATCTAGCCTCAATGCTGACAAGAATGCTGCCCTTCATGTATTACAATACGTTCGGGGTATCATGGCCTATCGTCCGGGACTTCTTTAAGTCCGTGCGCGAGAACGAAGGTGCCGAGCTTCCTATCTACGGAGCTGGTTTCTGCTGGGGTGGAAAGCATATCGTCAATCTAGCCGCCGGAGCGGACATGGCCTCGAATGGAAAACCGCTGCTCAATGCTGGGTTTACGGGGCACCCGAGCCTTCTCGAGATTCCTAACGAGATCGAGAAAATCAAAATCCCTGTAAGCTTTGCGCTTGGGGAAAAAGATATAATCCTGAAAGCTCCACACATTGAGCAGATCAAGCGAGTCTTCGTCAACGAGTCCGGTACTGGAAAAGGAGAAGTCGTGGTTTATGAGGGCGCCGGCCATGGCTTTTGTGTCAGAGCTGATTTTGTTTTGGAAGATGCAAGTAGACAGGCCGATGAAGCGGAGAATCAGGCACTGGCCTGGTTCGAAAAGTATTAACAGAGAGACTTGAAGTTTTATGTTTAGTTTGGAACATAAGAAATGGAGTACAAAGTATGAATCGAGTGCATGTCAGCACGTACACAGCCACTTCTACCACAGCCATATTGTGGCGGTGCAATTGACCATCGCCAAAACAAAACAACAAAAATCTCCCTTCCATCTACCCAGACTGACCTGGTCCAAGTTCCAAGTGGAGAATATGTATTACGCTGCATTCTGGAGTCTCACCGCAGTCCATGCAGCCTAGTCTCTTTTTTTTGCCGCAAATAGTTTCCTCTTCAATAAGTCCCCGTCACAGCAATCTATACTGTTCTTTTGCTTGATCATTTGCATTCATATATGCCTCAAATTTCAGACACTCCAGAATCTTTGCTTCCTCGCTCAGATTCTCGAAACCCAGCGACAACATGTAGAGGTATAACCGCCCAAGGCCGGCCCTGCCGCCGCTCTCTGGCATCTCCAAATCCATCGCCTGCTTCCGCCCCCCAAAAGAAGGATCCTCGCCAAGAGGCTATAGATGTGGCATCTTTGTACTGCTGGCAGCACAAAGATCAAGATCCTTCGGCAAATCCACATATGACTGTCATCACTCCGTCCAAGACGAGGACAAGCATTGATACCTTAATGGATCGACTGGGTGTGCTCGAAATAAACGATGATCCAGTCTCCCCAAAGCCGAAGCCTCCCCACAAACGGCGCACAAACCAAAGTAGGCCCAGTGAAAAGCGTCGACCGAAGAGAAAGACCACTTTCTGCTGCTTCCAGATCGTGGAAGACAGCGGCGAGGATGACCAGCCGACCTCAGTTCAACGGCCTAAGCCCCCTCGCCCGACAAATGGCGTTTTGCCTTCTCCAAATTCAAACCAAAAGATCGAACTGCCTGCCTCAGCCGGAAGGCCCCAGCATGCGCAAGTGTCACCCACTCCTCAAACATCCCGGCCAACTTTGTCAAGCACAGGGAAAACCTCTACCTCGAAAATACAATCCTCATTATCGTGGATTCCGTCCACACTTCCCCCGGAGAAAAAATCAATTCTTATGACAGAACTGGCCAAACCCATCTCCAGTGCCGACGACGAAGGCTATATCTATATGTTCTGGGTGACGCCCCCAACAGTTACCACACAGCGGAGGGTTGAATCCGCAGTACCGCGAGACATAGCATCTTCTCTACTACCCCACACACCAAAAAGTAGCAACAGCCTCCGCCCAACCACCCAGTCACGCAGCGTCAGCGAGGCAATTCGTGCGGCGAAAGATCTCAATGCCCTCACCTCCAACCCAACATCAACCACGCCCGGGACGCTCAGGCTGAAAATCGGACGCACGAGCAATGTGCACCGTCGCCTTGCTGAGTGGAGTAAACAGTGCTCGTACGACTTGACCCTGATCCGTTATTACCCTTACACACCATCTTCCTCCACGTCACCCTCCCCTGCTAGGGTGCCGCAATCCCACAACAGCCGTAATAGGGCCCCTTCTGCATCTTTAGTCCCGGGAAGGAAGGTCCCGCATGTGCACCGCGTTGAACGACTCATTCACCTTGAGCTGGCGGCTCAGCGGGTGCGAGACTTAGGACAGTGTCCTGAGTGTGGGAAGGAGCATCGGGAATGGTTCGAGGTTGAGGCGGCGAAGGAGTCGCTAAGGAGGGTGGATGAGTGTATTCGACGATGGGTCTCTTGGGCCGAGTCGATGCCTTAAGACTGTACTTTTTGCGGAGAGTTGCTGCCATATCTCTATGTCCAAATGGAGCGAATCTTCATGGAATGCATGCTTCAATCAGGCGTATTGATGCTGCGACCTTGATGACAACCTAACCATCTTTGGCCTTGATGCCTCTCATTCAAGCGCATTGACCAAATTCATGATCCGCGACTGCCGCTTGACGATGACAGTAATACTGCCTGGCTAATCCCTGACAAATCCACCCTATCGCTCTAGAGGTGTATCACTCTCGCAAGCCAACCACGAGGGCCGTTGAGGTTCAGTGAGGCTACAGACTCGATAAGTTAACCTTGGGATGTCGATGAGGATGCTAGCTGCCGAAGAACACTTGATCTATCACGATAGCTCGAGGCTGAATGCACACACATTGATATCAGAATAAGAAGGCGAGTGTCTACCAAATTAGTTCTCTAAGACGTCGGTGAGTAAAAGCACAATAGACCAGTAGTTATAGACATGGATATTTCAACCTATTTACCTATTTTGATTTGATCTACACCTTCCGCTTTAACAGCCCACGGAAGAAGTCGAAGCTGTTACTATCACTCTGCAACTGCCACACACGTCCCGTCGGACGATCGTTCCACCCCAATTCCTCGGCCAGCAAAAGACCAAAATCACGGGTGATACCCTGAATGCGAGCGCGAGCACCGCCCTCCTCCTCCAGCGTGACGATCTGATGCATGTGTAGCCAGTCTTCATAATACATAGCCTCAAAGCCTCGATCGAAGCCCGTGCGCAAGAAACGGGTATACAAGGCTTCAAATGTAGTCAAAATACGAGCCAGGAGCCTCTCGAGCGTGACAGGTGAGGCGGCAGCAGCGCCAGGGGATGCGTAGCGTGCGGCGAGGGTGGTCAACGCAGTTGTCGGAGAGGCGTTGGTGGCATTGATACCGATACCCACGACGGAGATGTACTCGTTTGACATGAAATGAGAATTGATAAGAATGCCGCATACCTTCGTGTACCGTTTCTGTTCGGGGTCATCTGGGTCCAGTGCGTCTGTAGAGATTGGTTAATAGTGAACCATTGATAATGATGAAATCAACAACCTGGCACGTACAAATATCGTTCGGCCATTTTAGTTTGACCGGGATCTTCTCGTAACCTTTGGCGTAGTTCTTGATTCCCCTGACCACTGCCATGGCTGATAGGTACTGGAGGAACACAACCGGCGCCGACTGAATCTTGTCCATTGGGTGTCGCACAACAGTTGAAAAGATTAGAGAACCTGCTGGTGAGACCCAGACATTGGATCCGCGTCCGCGTCCAGCAATTTGTGCTGTCGCAGTAGCCGTAAACCCTTGCGGCAACTGACGAAGCAGCTTCGTGTTCCTGCTGCTCGTTAGGGCCGGCCAATACCAGACTTATCGAAGTGCTTACTTTTCAAGAATTGTGTTCGTACTAGTCACTACCTCTCCATATAAGAGATTAGAGCCAAATGTCGTGGCCTCTCCCTTGGACTCGGATTGGTATTGGCGGAGGTGGGAATAGAACGCATGGTGGTTGAAGTATGGAGTTAGTTTCGAAGATGGTATGTCATCGTGGAAAACAAGTCGCTTGATGATTGCCTGGTAATCAATTATACCCTCGCTAGATTCCAATGATCTTGCAGGGAGCGATTCTTCCAGTTCACCAAGATTCCATGTTCCAGGGCGTTCAATGCGGAACGTATCGTGATCGTCCTTGAGACACTCGGTCTGACCCTCTTGAGTGAATGCAGATCCAAGACCCGACAGGATATCCATGGGACCATCAGCATCCATTCCAGACATGTGCAAGGACGACAGTGAAGGCACTGTTGTTGTGTCCTGCGTGACCTCAAGTCCAAGTTTGGACAGACAAGCCTTCAAGAAGTCTGTCCGTTCCTTGTCGTCGGCGGCGAGAGCCGCCACCATATCCGCATATTCAGGTCCGCCCGCCTTCGGGTCTAGATTAGCAGCCGCAAATCTAGTCCACAGGTCAGCGACTCAATCCTGCCAATTGAAATGCAAAACATACTCAGGATGAGGCCCGGTCAGAACTGCTGCGCCACTACCGACTTTGCAGTAGACAACAGCAGCCGCACCCTCCCCTGCGTCGACATTCAGCTTTTCAGTATAGCTCGCAAGAACCTCTACCCCTTTTTCTGCGAGCGACGGTGCATCGACGAAGACCCCGCCGCCATTGTAGTACGACCGGAAGTTGGTTGGCACGGTGCCAATGCTCAAAGCTCCCTTGGCCACTTCGAGTCCTGCAGCGCGTGCCCCCGCCTCGCTATGGTAAACGAAGCCCGGGAATGCCCCGCCCCGACAGATGCCCGGATAGAAAGCCAATTCACGATCCCCAACTACCTCCATTGTCTTATCACCGACCTCGAACTCACAACTCTTGCATCCGTAGTAGCCACCAGCACACAGACCGAGGTAGCGCCCGCCATTGCGGACAAATTGCGCGATGCGCCGGTTCCCCGCACCATTGAGGGTGCGACAGTATCCCATATCCGCGCCGCCTGGCATGACCAGCATAGCACAAGTAGAAATCCATGGCTCTTTAAGGAGCATATCGCTCGTCACGGGGTTAACGGCATAGTGGTGAGCGAGCAGGCGACGGAGGGTGTAGAGGCAGTGACGGACTGAGTCAACGGTGGTTCCATTTCCTGTGGAGAAGTCGTCGGTCAGAGAACGGCTGAGCTGCTAGGCTGGGTAGAATGAGCGAACCGGAGTAAACTAGGACATTGAGCCTTTTGCCAGTGAAATTGGCGTTGTTGCCCGTTGGCGTTGCCATTGTTGTCCTGTTGCAAAGGGAAATCGTGCGATAAGATAGTTAGTTCTCCATCTTCCGCCGAGGCCAACCGGCCCTCTCCAACTTTCCTCGTTACCATACCTCAGCCATGTCGAACAACGTGGAGAAGACAACTGTTGTCCCGGATGACGATGAGCCGGATGATTGGTGAGGCATTCTTCGGTTTTCTGGTCTGCGTGGGTGCTAACTACAATGGCAGGGACAAGCGGATCTTCAGCACAGGCTGCCATAGTAAGTTATATTCAATTCGAGCGGTCTAATCCCATACTAATACATATTAGCTGAGCAGGATAAGATGAATGACTGTTACTACGCAAAGAAAGACTGGCGCGAATGCAAGGAAGAGGTGAGCTATAATATCCACCAATCTGAACATATATCGTTCCACCCGAAGCCATTGGATGGTCATTTCTACAGTAATCATCGTACAAGTTCTTCAAATCCCGAGGAATTGAAGAAATAGCGCACAACTACAATTACCCAGATCATACTGACTCTGGTCAACACAGATGGAAGCTTTCCGCGAGTGCTGGAAGCGCCAGGGCAACGACCAGCGAACACAGACGAAAGACGCATAGTGTAGTCTGCCCATCTATAATGCCATGTTAAAATAGTCATTTCCAATCAATCCCACTCAATATTTACCTGATTATCCCAACATTGACAGAACGGAGCTATCAAATTCACATCACGTGACAGCATATATTCGCCTCGCTGCGAGACCTCCCTCCTACTTCCACTGTCAACAATCCAAGCCACGATGTCTGCTCCTCTTCGTATCCGGTCCTGGCGGGCAATTGAGACCCTCCAAAATGCGACACATCTTTCGCGCTCCTCAAGAGTGCCCAATCTAACAATCAGCCAGCTCTCCAGCCCCATTACCAAAAGAGCAATCAGCTACACCACCAAAAACCAGAACAACCAACCCGCAGTCAAGCCCTCATCAACAAGCCCTGCCTCAAAGCCCTCTCCCTCAGTCTCAACACCTACTCCAACAGGCGTGCCCGCGTCCCGCGTCCCAGGCTCAACCCCCAACCGCGCAACAACCGAAAACATCTCCAAAACAGGCCTATCGGACAAACCCCTCGAGCTCGAGAGCCCAGCCGAAGAGAAAATCGACTGGACGCGCTCCTTCCACGGCCTGTCCGCGGAACCGTTCCCCAAAGAAGCGGCCGATATCCTGCTAGCGGAGACGGAGCCAGACGAGGTCGAGATCAAGCCCGATGGTATCCTCTATCTACCGGAGATCAAATACCGACGGATTCTCAACCGCGCCTTCGGTCCTGGCGGGTGGGGTCTCGTGCCGCGGAGTGAAAGTATCGTTACGCCTAAGACGGTGACGAGGGAGTACGCTCTTGTTTGCAATGGACGGTAAGCACATTTACCTTTCCGCCTGTATTTCTTTCTACCAGTCTTGATTTCTATTTAGCCCCAGCTTCATACTGGAAATTATGACTAGAACAGGAAACCCCAGAAACCTCAGCTAACACAGTTCTCACTCCAGCCTCGTCTCCGTCGCCCGCGGTGAACAGGACTACTTCTCCCCGGACGGTATCCCCACCGCTACAGAAGGCTGTCGGTCCAACGCGCTCGTGCGCTGCTGCAAAGACCTAGGCATTGCGAGCGAACTTTGGGACCCGCGCTGGATCCGCAAGTACAAGGCCAAGTACACGCGCGAGGTGTTTGTTGAGCATGTGGTCACTAAGAGGAAGACTAAAATCTGGACGCGGAAGGATGATCCTGTTGGATATCCGTGGAAGGAGAGTGGAAGTAAATAGGGTTGTTAGGGGGGTTGGATGGTGTGTCTAGCTGGGCTTTGGCTTTTACCTAGACTCGGTCAGATTTGTATTATATCACTTTGTATTCGATAGGTGTTAGTATATGGGAATATTATCTGTCTCTCTGCTCGATATTTTCATTAGACTGAAAGTGATACCACAGCTTTCTTCTGATATGAAGCATACATCACCTATCAGATGGTCACAAGGTCATCTAGCACCTTTCTTTTCTATTGACTTGTAACTAGCCTATTGTCTCGGTTTTTAGTTCGAGAGCATCAATAGATACCCTAACGTAGTCACGTAGCAAAAGCCGCTGTAAAAGAGTCCTGAAAGCCAAGAAAGTAGGTCTGATTTTATTACCCCAAAGACCGGGAATAGCATAGCTTCATAGCCGCACACCACTAAGGCAGGAAATGCAGGAAATTTTTATGTGGCTCAAAAACGCAGGGAACAGAATATATCGACATATCGCACATAATATGAACAGCCCAAGGAGAAAGAAGAATGGTAGATAGCCAAGAATGGGTAATCAAGGAGGGCTAGTGATACAAAAAGCAAAGAGAAAACGATCAGATCTCATGCTCCCCATAAGGAGACTTATCCTTCTTCCTGAGCGGAGCAGCGTTGTAGCTCGCAGCCTGCTGTGGGGCCGCCGGCTGGGGCGGGGAGTACATAGACGGCGGCGAGACGGGGTCATATCGGTCAGAGAGCTGGTAGTTGCTGGACGCCGTCACAGCGGAAATGTTCGGGTTCGAAACCTGGCGGTCACGTCCTGGTGTGTTCTCGGCGCTGTGGCTGCCGACCGGGACCTGACTGTACCCCGTATCGTGGGCGTAGTAGCCGTTGAAGGGGTTGGGGTCGGGGGAGCCCACCATCTGAACGGTGTGGCCTTCGTCCTGGCCCGATCGAGGACGGGGCTCGTAGCGGGCGCTGCCACGGGAGCCTGGTTTCGGGGTCTCGAGGATGGGAACTTGGCTTGAGGATGGGGTCATGCCCGCGGGGACTGGGGAGAGAGGGGCGTTTCTGAGCGCGGGGTGCGTATCCTGCTCGTGGTACGAGACGTGATCGCCGGCCTTGCGGTGGCCGGTTGACAGGCCGCGCTTGATGCCTTCGCTTCCGTTGTGCACGCTTAGCTGGTTGCCTTGGTTGGAGGCGTTGGTCGCAGTGCGGTGGAGGGCGTTCTCTTCCCTGCCGTAGTCGTCGCGGCCAGCGTCGACAGTTGGGGAGCGAGAGTTGAGCAATTCGACGATGGCAGCTTCGCGCTCAGCGTTGGTCTGGGTGGAGCCGCGGTGGGTGACTGTCCCTGAACGGCCCTGTTCGTACCCTGTCGACTGGGCTGTGTTCTCGTAGTTGAGGATACCTCCGGCGGCAGCGGCGACGCCTGGGTTGGGCTTGGAGGAGTCGGCCCCGCCGCCCTGAGTAGACTGGCGGCGACCTGCGCTTGCACCGGCACCGGAATCATCACCCTTATCATCGCCGTCTGCGGCATCGGCACCCTCTTCCGCGGGGGGTTCGACACCTGGACCGCGAACCTGGATCTTGCGGACGGCTAGGACCAAAGCACACAGGAACTTGGATCGCCGGGCAGAGCGAATAGTCTCATTGGACCAGTTAGACTTGTGACGGATGTCGACACGCAGCTGGAGTTTGTCCATATCACCAACGCCCTCGAGCTCGATGTCAATATCCGGCTGGAAGTCACGGCAGTTATCCTTGTCGCGAACGAAGTTCTCCATCTCCTGGCGCAGCAATTGAACCTCAGCGAAGGTAGTGTCGAACGCTACGGGGATGACAAGCTTTTCATGCATAGCATTGGCGCGAGTGAAGTTGTCAACCCAGAGACTGTTCAGGATATTGTTAGGCACCTGCGTGATGCGGGAATCGGTAACACTGCGGAAGACAGTGAAAAGAAGCGAAATACGCTCAACGACGAAAGGCTTGTCGCTGACCTCGACGCGGTCGCCGATATCGAAGGGATGTTTGACGAAGAGGAAAATGCAGGAACCGAGGACTTCTTGAGCGGTAACGGAGAAGACGAAACTGAGGGAGAGCAGCGAGGTGGCACCAGCTGCAATGACGGTACCGAATCCAGTGGTGACGAAAGAGATGAAGACAAGAACACCAACCAGAGCAGCGACACACATGAGCAGGTTGTCAAGCACACGGATAGCCTGGTCGACATCATGCATGCTGTGGTTCAGGGCCTTTCTCATGCGTCCAAACTCGGTGATGGTCAGGACCATCTCGTCCAGACTGATATCACCGTTGCCATCCCTGTCAAGAGCCATGAAGCACTCCTCGGCCTCAGCCTCGTGTTCAGCACCCAGGACCTCGACGATGTCATCCATGTACAGAGATTCACGGCCCTCGACCACAAACGACATCCAGATACGGCGGGCCAGCGCAGCAGCATGGCGCTTGCGCTCAAGGGCGTCGATAACCATGGTGTATGTCGCAGTCGGGTTAAATACCTGCTTACCAGTAAGCTCCGACGCTACGTGCCCGAAAGCAGCGGTAACCTTGTCACCAACACGGCCGACGTTCTTGCCGACATGACGGATCATGCGGAGGGGCATAGCAGATGACCGCTTGCCAGCGTTGGTGCCAGCCTGAGCCAGGATGGAATCGAAAATGAGCGAGTCTTCCTCTTTGAATTCAGGGCAGTACACGGGGAACATATTGCGCGAAGCCTCGAAGAGGAGAGTGACCAAGTGCACATTGCGCTTGGAGACCTGGATCTTGGCATCGAACTGCTTGCGGTGGTAACTGATCGAGATGAGCTGCACAAGAGCTTTCTCGACCAGGTAGATGAGGCTGCAGATGAGCAGCGCAAATAAAATATTCTTGACACTTTTCTCCCATGCCTTGGGAGCCGTGTCGCCGGAGTCCTTCTTACCAGGAGTCAATGTCATAACCGGCAGGAAGGTCACGAGGGAAATAACAGCCCAAATGACAAGCGCAATGGGGGTCTCGAGGGCGCGCAGAATGAGCGCATACTTGCGGGTACCGGAGCTGACGATACCGCACAAGAACTGGAAGAAATAAGGAATGTAACGGGCGAAGATCTTGGATGCCCACAGACTGAACCAGACGATCTCAATCCAAGTAAAGAACCAGTAAAGATGAACACCACCAATTTTGGCGTACCGCGCAACTGTAGCGCCCACAATGATCGGAATCGCGATCAAAGTCGCAATGGGAATAACATAAATCAGGTAACGAGTGATGAGGGAGTAATTCAGGACAGCTTGGTAGACACGGCCCATACGGTTCATAGTGCCGTCCTCGGGCGACTCAGCGGGCTTTCCGGACGACTCGTTAATATCGGTATCCGTGCGACGCCTGCGGCCAGGACCACGATGATGGTTTCCAACGATAGGTTCTTTCTCCGTGGTCTCCTGGGGGCTGGTATTGGTGTTCCATTTACGGGCACCCGTTTGACCACGGGAAGTCGTCTCTGTCAAAGGGATATCAATGGTCACGTCGTTGGGATTCAACATCCCATTGCCATGATCTGGCATGTCGTGCAGCTGCTCGAATCGGTGAGCCGTCAGTCGCCTGGTGGAAAGACTCGAACGTCCCATTGCAAGGGGCTCGAAAGGTAGACAGGGCTTTTATTGTGGCAACGCAGATCCGCCCCTAAAGTTTCGATTGCGGAGGGCCTTCGTGGCTATTGTGGAGACGCGAAAAAAACAGTACCGTTAAAGCACACTAACGGTTGATAGGCCTGTCGTTTTTCGCCTGCCCCTCGCCGGGTGAACCAAAAACTTCCGCGGCCTCACTCTTTTTCTTCGCGTTAGTTGTCAGGCTGTTTGGCTATGACTGCCAGACCAGTTGTGCGTGGACGACGGTCGATTTTCCAATGTCAACGGTCAAGAATTATGTGGAGATTTAGATCGGCGAATTGGGTGTTACTAGTGAGAGATCGACCCAAAGCCGTAAATGTACATATGTACAGTAAAAGAATGACTGAAGTCAAGAGAGTGTTGCAAGGGAATAGAAGAAAGAAAGGAAGCAAAAGACTTGAAAGTAGAAAACACATCCAACGGACATACCGTGTTTCAGCAGGACCCGTTGGGGGGGAACAGGGCAAAAATGTGAGACCGCCCTCTTCCCCCCTGTGGAATCCTTCCACCCTCGTCATTCGTTGCTTCTCTCCTAGTCTGTGTCCTTATATTACCGATCGACTCTAGATTGGTCTGTACTCGAGCTCTTCTTCTCCATTTCGCCTTACGCTCCTCTCATATATTAATCCACGTGACCAGTCCTCGAACAGGATCTAGGACGGCGACTTCCGACATGCAGGTCCACTACCACCCCCCACAGCTCGATGTGTCTGATCGTCCAATAAGCAGCTCATGTCAACGGGTGGCTTGAGATCGAAACAGTCTACGGAGTATTCGGTTAGCCTAACGGGGAAAGAAGAACAACTCGCCGATTCTAGATGCATCAGACGTACGTAATAGTATATTCGATTTATGCTGAAGCGCAGAGGGTGAATAACCAGCTTTACGCCCATGAGTCAACATGCATCTTCTCCAGCGCAGCAACAACCTGCTTCCTATCCCAACCACCCTCCAACCCTCGCATAATAATATCCTGCTCACTCTCCGGCGCCATACCACTCAGCGCCGGCGGTCTCCGATCCAAATTCGTAGGGAAAGGATAACCCTCCGCAACAGCCTGCACAAAAGCCCTAATCTCCCTCTGCTCCAACGAATGCGTCTCAGGATCAAGTTCCTGCCCGGCCAAAACACCGCCAGCAGCCCGGAACCGCTCGACCAGCAAATCCCAAGTCGCATCAACAAGCGGCACCGAATCCACCGTCTCCATAGGCTTCCCAAACGCACTACTGATCTGCAGCAAATTCGCCACACGTCGGAAACCCCCGTCCTCAAGATCCATCTGGTTCGCCCCAGCGGCATGGAAAAGCGCCGGATTAAAAAACAACCCGTCCCCAAAGCTCAACGGAAGCGCAACGTATCTCTCTTGAAAGAACTCCCGGAACTCAGCCTTCCGCCACGCCAGATACCCGGGCTTGTACGTCTGACTGAAAGGCAGGAACCGGGTTGGTCCGCTAACGACAGGCATATCGGTATGCGCGACGGCGCCCTGCAGCGTCAGGAACTGCGATGTCAGCTGCGTCGTGGCAGGATACCTCTTGCAGGCTACTTCTTCCTGGAAGCCGAGGTGGTAGTCGCGGTGGGCTTCCTGTGCAGCGCCGCCCGGGTGCACGGCGTTGACTTGGGCTGTCACGCGGTAGGCTGGGCCCAGCCAGGACTCGCAGACTGCTGCTAGCCATGGGTTTGAGTAGTAGTCGATGAAGGAGGATGGGTCTTGCAGGGCGTGTTTTGAGAAGGAGTTCCAGATGCGGTCATTTGTGCCGCCTACGGCAAAATGGTCGCCTTTCTTGTTGTCTGATTGTGCGGCTTCGCGGGCGATGATCGCGTTGAATGCGGTGTTTGTGGTGTTTAGGGTCGTTTCGTATTTTGTTGGTGCGTACATCGACCGTAGCACGTAAACGCCCGGGCCTGTGTGGAGGATGTGGTGCCATTCATCTTGGAGGCGGTTGATTAGGTCTGATGTTAGGCCCGTGGATTCGAGGGTGGCGAGGTCGTAGATTGGGATGTTGGATTTGACTTCGCTAGCTAGTGGGTAGGTTGCTGGGTCTGTGGTTTGCGAGCAGATGTCTTTGAACTCTGAGAGTTGCGGGGCGGAGGGGGAGTAGAGACGAGATGAAACTCCGTGACCGTTCATGATTGCGTATTCGTACTTCTGTATACATGCAAAGCATATGGGGAAAGTATGTGTATATCCCAATCGATCCATTCGGTGAACCGTTTAAATATTTTTTCGTCCGGAAAACAATGTCCATCGGGTCCCCGCATTAAGGTCGGATATACGGGGGTGCTGGAGATCAAGTTGCGACTCGGAAAAGGCTTTCCGTTGAAAAATGAGAAGTTCGAAAATAAGAATAGCAAAAGCGTTCTAGACCTAGATGGGTATCACAGCTATCAAGCAGTATAGTACAGGTCTACCGCTACCACTGAAGCACAAAAAAGAAAAAAAAAAGAAGCCAAATGAACCATTCGGTCCTCCCAAAAAGCAACAGGAGAACGCCGAGCACAGGAAAGTCTTGCCTTGTAAAAAAGACAAAAGCCCATGCATAAAATAAGTGGCATCCGTGTTGTGCCTGTTTCATAAGATCCAAATATTCCCAACCCACGCAAATCTATGCTTGAATTTCAAAAACGTCCTTTTTAGCCAAAAGCGGGAGGAAATAATTTCGTAATGCGTGACTAGGCACTGGGCACCCGTGGCAATTCATGCATTCATCATGACCGCTCCGAGGTCTGATGTGAGGACCGATTCGGACGGCGTGGGTTGGTTGGTTTTGTTGGGTTCGCCGAGGATGAGAGTGTGTTCAGACATCGTCTCGATCAGGGCACTCGGTCTTCCGGTGACGGTGAAGAGGACCTTCAGAAGGAGAGTAGGGCCTTGCCCGTTGAGGCCGCCTTGGGGTTGGCGCCGGGTGTGAGTGAGCAGCACACGGACAAGTTCGCGGATTGGACCGTCTGTAGACGGATTGTGGATGGCGTCTAAACCGTCGATTATAAAGACCAGGAGTGGTGGGGCGGATTGTAAGAGGGTGTCGACTAGCGATAGAGCGGCTTTCCAGCTGCTGAGAGTTCCGTCTAGTTGGCGAAACCGTTCTGCGCTGAGATCCAGCACAGCGTCGCTGTCGACTACAGGAGGAAGCCAGTCGATTAATTGCCGGATTATACTGTAGGTCAGGGCAATTAAGCCTTGCTCATGTAGATTCAGCCCTTGGGTCTCCTGACTAGGAAGGGCACAAAAATGAGAGACGACGGGCAATCGAGCTTGACGTGCGAATGAAGCATAGCAGGCTGAAATTAGAGCCACCGGGTCGAGAGAAGCGGTAGGCTGCGTCCCGCCCACGGCTAGGGCCTGAGATCGCGAACTGGTGGCCCATTGCTGTAGAGAAATAACGATATTACCCTCGGCGACGACCTTGGCTTCGGGGTCGTAGTCGCAAATCTGATCATCACTATCGAAGAAGTCCTGGAGGTGCTTGGATGAACTTTGAATCTCGAGTCGTGCGAGGCGGCGCTTGGATCCCCTGGACCATTCAAAAGAGGATGTGTCTGTCAAATTGCGTTAGACGGTGTATCGAGCTGTATAATGCCTATGGCTTGTTACCTATATTTGGAGCTGGAGGTGTGGTCATGCAAACAATGCCACTGCTCTGTTCACTGACCGGCTGCAGTTGCTGGCGCACAGAACTCAATGTCTCTGCCAATAACCGATCCCGACCCTCTCTATACCGAGTACGCTCCTCTGCGTCCTGCTGAATCTCCCAAATGAGACGGCGCGTGATGGTATTTTGTGCCGCTACCCGACGGTCCTTTCCCCGGCGTCCTACTTGGCTGAGTCGGGACTCCTCCCAAAGTGCCCGAGGGCTATACGGGTCCTCATCCTGATCCACGTCCATCGCCGCATGTTGCCATGGAAGATTCCGTGCTTGCAGTTGTATATAGAGGACCAGATGATGAAATTCCGAGTACACATCCTGGCTGTGCATGTTCAGCAACTGGCACGTGGACCTCCGAACATACCAGTCCATGAATTCGGTCAAAAAGAAGAATATTAGAGCGTAGGTTTTCGTAATATGTGGAACGGTGTTTGAGATTAGGGTAGAATCACTAGGAAGGCCTAGAGCATCGTGAATATTTAGCAGGGCAGTAGCTAAGCCCTCCATTACCCGTGGGTAATGCGACGATGCCTGAACCGTATGTTAGCGATGCGACGAGACCTGTGTATAGATTATCCACGCACCTTTATCACTGATTGGAGGACTCCATAGAACAAAGGGGTATATGCCATAGGGTCCGGGAGGGCAGAAAGGAGGGTCGCGTGGGTGTCTATAGTCGGAAGGAGTCGATCGCACAAGTCCATGGAGTCGCTAAAGACCCGTTGTCGGGGGCGGGACATCCAGAACGTCTTGATATTGCCGAGCAAGGTCCGCACATCGAGTACCGTCTGTGGCCGCTCCTCCCATTGCACCTGATCCTGGGGTAGGAGGAGGCTGATAAACCGCTTCCAAGTGTGGGCCAGCTCATTCCGTTCGATATCGAGTTCGGCGATGGCGGGGGTCCTAGGAGGGATGCAGGTTAGAGGGGACAGACACTTGACAGGTCCAGACTATGCCATCATGATGGGTCATCAGTTCCCGAGAGGTCTATGGGGATGCTTACGACGAGATAGGCTTCCCGTCAAAGCGGTGTTGCCAGGCCCGGCTCGGGATGGCAGTCTCGGGCATGATCCCACAAGAATTGATAAAGACAAGGCAGTTGGTGTTTTCACGACATGTCCCAAAAGGAGATGTGAGTCTAGGACAAAAATGGAAGAGAGGGATGGAAGAATTGAACTTTGTGAAGGGTGGGTTTTGCCGCTCAGAGAGGGGGAAGGCTAAAAATGAGAAGAGAAGGAAGAGACAAGAGACGTTTCTATTAATACTCATTTTTCCACTTCTATCTTTTCTGGTTTCAAGGTAATCTAGAGCTGTCTTATCTGAGTTTACTTCACTTTATTTACTGTCTTTCATTTTCTCTTTTCCATTTTCCCCCTCTTTTTTTCTTTTTTTCTCACAGTGAAAAGTACTAAGAAATACACTCCGGGCCTGAGGAGAGCCGAGGCCCTACTGTCTCGCCACTCACGGGGGAATTGAACCTGATTTGGGTAGAATATATAGCATCATCCTTGGAGGGCATAAAAGGTATATAAGGTATATATAGAATCTTAACTATAAGCATATTATAGATATCAGATCATACCAATAAAGCGGGGACTTCCCGAATATACTTAAAACACCTGGCCCCGGGTGTTCGCCTCTCCAGATTTCATTCTCGTGGAGAGAACATAATAAGGTTCTGGTCCATTTCGAGAGCTCAACCCCTCTTTCTTTTTGCTGCTTTTTTATTTCTCTCTCTTTCCGTTCCCTTGGGTCAAATAACATGGGGTGCGTCGATTCTAATAGGTATCTGCGGGGAGCGCTGATCGTGGGACAATAATCCTGTAGCTGAAGAAGTCTATTTAGGTCAGATCAGGTCAGACCATGTCCAGAGATCAGGACCATGGGGATGGTCGGGTTGAATGTCTCAGGTCTGGAGGTTGGAGCAGAGTGCGAAAAAAAGCAAAGAGCCCAAAACCTTAGACAAAAGACAGTGGACGGAAGTCCGGGATTTCAGATTAAACGGGCAAGTCCAGCGAGTAGAACGAATACGAGACCGATATCTGGTTGCGCATCATAGAAAGATCGACCTTTACCTACAACACAGGGTAAGTCCGGCGATGACGTTGCCTTCACGGTAAAGTTATAATGGCCATTGACGATCACACTTTCAGATCAATGGTAAAAATCAGATGGTATGTACGGAGTGTGTATATATAAATCTGAATAAAATAGAACATTTGAATAAAATAAAATAAAATAAAATACCAGTAGATAGTAATAACATTTATAATATCTAATTACATCGAAAATCGAAAACCCTTCTAATCTCCCCAAATATCCGCTTTGATCCCCAGCCTTGTTAGGGCCGATCCTCTCCCCTCGTTTTCTGGTTTTCCCGGTTTCGCTCTCTTATGCTCGAACTAATGTGACCCCCCACATTATTCTATCCGCCGTCTCCCGCATAATGGGGCTGTTTCTTTTCTTTCTCTTGTTCTTCTCAGTTCAAGCAGAGGTTGTATCGCTACCATCGAATGCTACTAGCGAATCCACTGGGTTTCGTATTGAGGGAAGCACTCTGACTGGCCAGAAGCTCGTCCCCTTAGCCGAGTCGCTGATTAGCACTGCCCAACTCAAGGTGCTATACGCTCCCATTGTTCGTGGGCCACTGCTGACATCTTCAGTCCTTTAATGTCTCTGGCACTGCCACTCAAGTCATCCCAAGCAATTCCCTCGACTTAAAGAAATACCAAATCGCTTGCATATCTTGCGACCAGGACGAGTATACCGGAAATATCCGAGTTGACGAGACAATTGAATACGTCACTTCTGCTCATTCCGCGGCAGCCATTCTGCTGTATAGCAAAACAGCTATCGGCTGCAACTTCACTTCCGATGATCAGACCGCTGCATCGTCTCCCTATATCTTCACATTCACGAGCCAAGGCGGCTACTCTGCACTACTCCGTGCTTTCGATCAACCAACAACTATCAGCATCGTCTCAATGTCGTACCTCTCCGGCGTTCCATCCGACGGTGATACCGGTGGCACGGGTGACAGTCCAAACACTGGTTCGTATCCCGACTCCTCTATCTTGTTCAGTCCGTTGACTTTCTACGCCAGCCATGATCATCCTGTACAGTATCACGGGTATCATCACCGCACTATTCCTGGGCATTATCATTACCGGCGCAGTCCGCGCTCATCGCCATCCAGAGCGATATGGCCCTCGCCGGATCGCCGGGCGAGTCCGGCAAAGCCGAGCCCGAGGTATAGCTCGAGCCATGTTAGACACCATACCGGTCGTCAAGTTTGATGACAAAAACGATGACGTGGAGGCCGCCAAAAGAGACGTCGAGATGACTATGAACTCTGAAGATCGCGAGCACTCCCAGCCCCAGGACGATGGACACACCACGGGGTTATCGACGCCCCGCGAATCCGAAATGCCAACCCCAGACGATAACGAGCGCCCCACTCCCACAGCCCCCGAAGCCAAGACCGAGATGCCCGACGCAGGTAACTTCTCGTGTCCGATTTGCACAGACGACTTCATCAAGGGCCAAGACTTACGTGTACTGCCCTGTAACCACCAATTCCACATGGAATGCATTGATCCATGGTTGATGAACGTGTCTGGCACCTGTCCCCTTTGGTATGTTCTATTTATATTGATATTGATATACAAACATCTCAACCCCCATACATGAACCAAACTAACTATATTGCAGCCGCATTGACCTCAACCCACCCCAACCCGAAAACCCAGAGCAAACAGAACAAAATGCCGACCATCCCGACCATCCCGACCAACCACCCGCCGAAGGACAAATCTTAACAACGGAAGATGCTCGCCAGCAAGCCCGTCAGCAAGCCCGCCATACGCATCGCCGTCTAACCAACTACCTCCACGGACCCCTCAACGCCCGACGCATGCGCGACGCCACCGTCGAGGAGCGGCTCGCCGCGCTCCGACGCGTCCGCGAAGCAAACCAAGGCGACTCCGCGCCCGAAGGATCACACCGTGGCCTGACCACCCGGCTACGCGATCGCTTCCGCATCCGGACACGCGCCCACGGTGAGGCTGAGACTCCTGACGACGATGCTGCGCCTTCTCCGGCGGCTCCGGCGCCCGTCCATCTCACGCCGTCTACTGCATGATGCGTGATCCGCTGCTTCACATTACACTCCTTTACATTTTGCATATATTTTTGATTTACGATTCAGATGATCTCAGGTCCTCGGTAGGAGGCTATATGGCGTTTTTGCTGCTCTCTATAGGTTCTGGTTTTCTTTATTCATTTTATGGATTTTGAAAGAGCATTGGCGTTTTTTTTGAACGGGGATTGGAGGAAAAGAGAGACTGGTCATCTCAGTGGTTTATTTGTATTTGCTTTCTTCATCTGTATATACTTTTTGTATATCATGAATTTAGGGTCACGTACATATTTACATACATTTTTTATGCAATGCATATATATCTCATTAGGGTACGGGGAGGCCGTATATGACGTGAACATATAATTTCCATCACGAGGACAATACCTACGAATGTAGGTCTAGACTCAAATTAATTGTCATCATCGATCCACGATCTATCTGCAGAAATATAGTTGGGGCTGTGCCAGGTCAGCAGAGAGCAGTACCATGGGTTTCGCAGCTTTATCTCAACCAATATCAGATCAGATCATTTCTTTTTATTATATCCATGGATATGTATGGATATACGACGCCTTACTAAAACTCATATCGAAGCTTGAAAGAATACCCATAACGATGAATAAGATCGCCAGGCACAAGTCACTTTCCGATTGGCTGATTGCATCGGCCGACACAAACCTTTCTGGTTTCACTCCGGGCCGTCATATACTGTTTTGCGTTGGAGTATTTGAGGGATATATTAGTACTTGAATCTCTCGATCTTCATATTATTACGTTCAACCACTATATGTAGGTAATAATTAACCTTCCAACGGGATATTATCCGCTTTCTGTGGGGAATCGGAGAACCCCAAATTCTTTTCGATTTCTCCCGGGATCCTCCTGATTTTAGTCCCCTCACGAGTGTGGGGGAATGACACATATGGAGCTATGAAGTGATGGAGTTGATAGTAGTTCTAGAATTGCTAGAAGTATCTTTCAGAGGTATAGAATTCAATTACTATTTCACATAAATATTGTAGAGTAATTGAACAAATTGAGACATAAGTGCCCTGAGCCGAGACTTGTCATGCGATGGCCTTCCAGAAGGGTCCCCACAGTGCGTCTTTTTCCGTCGGCGTTGTATGACACACTGTTTCTCGTAGCCTGTCGGAGAAGGGGAATGGTGTTGGAGATTTCAATTCTATTTGATTTGTACTCTTGAGTCCGCTGTACTCTGTATACTCTGTGCTATTAGAATACTAAATAGTTTGTGTGTTGTAGATATACCAGTGGCATGTGAATGGAGAACGAGAAAGATACGGACAATCTCTTCCCTCGGTATCTTGTGCGCCGAGGATATAGAGGATATGAAGATAAATATAAGAGAGACAAAATACAATATCTTCCATGTTGGAATACCTTCCGATTACTAAAAGAGTGCGCTGATTCCCCCAAACACAACCCCACCCCCTCACTCCATCCGGTGAACGCAAGCAGGAATATCCCGTTTCGGTGTCAGATTCCGGGGAGAACTTACGTTGGGTAACTCGGCGATTATATAATTTCACCATGACTTCCATTCAATCCGCCAGAGATCGTCTTTCCTCTCTATCATCACACATCATGGGTTCCTCCAGTCCTTCAGTATTTACCGCGGCCACTGTGGCTGCCGCTCCCGAAGATCCTTTGTTTGGTCTTATGAAGGCCTATCGCGAAGATCCCTCCGATAAGAAGGTTGATCTGGGTATTGGCGCCTACCGCGACAACAACGCAAAGCCCTGGATTCTCCCCGTCGTCAAGAAGGTAATATCTATCCTTCTTCTATCTTTCTGCAGTTATCTAACATCTACATCTATAGGCCGACGACGCCATCCACAACGATCCCACCCTCAACCACGAATACCTCTCCATCGGTGGTCTCGCCGAGTTCACCTCCGCAGCCCAGAAATTGATTGTCGGCGCAGACAGCCCTGCAATTCGTGAAAAGCGAGTACGTACCTATCTACTCCCATCTACTTTCCGACACCCCAGGCCCAACTGACCCTTCCCCCAATAGATCTGCTCCCTGCAAACCATCTCAGGCACCGGCGCCGTCCACCTAGGCGGCCTCTTCCTCTCGAAATTCCACCCCCAAAAGCCAACAATCTACCTCTCAAACCCAACATGGGCGAACCACAACCAGATCTTCACAAACGTCGGCCTAACTCTAGCAAAGTACCCCTACTTCTCCGTCAAAACAAAAGGCCTTGATTTCACCGGCATGATGGCGGCACTAGAAGCCGCCCCCCAAGGCTCGGTAATCCTTCTCCACGCCTGCGCCCACAACCCAACAGGCGTCGACCCAACCGAAGACCAATGGAAGCAAATCGCCGAGCTAATGCGCTCGCGCTCGCACTTCCCCTTCTTCGACACCGCCTACCAAGGCTTCGCGTCCGGCGACCTAGTCCGCGACTCTTGGGCCATCCGCTACTTCGTCGAGCAAGGCTTCGAGCTGTGCGTCGCGCAGTCCTTCGCCAAGAACTTCGGTCTCTACGGCGAGCGCACAGGCGCCTTCCACTTCGTTTCCGCTCCGGGTCCGGACGCCGCTGCTGCGTCCTCGCACATCGCCTCCCAGCTGGCTATCCTGCAGCGATCGGAGATCTCGAACCCGCCCGCTTACGGCGCGCGCATTGCGAGCCGCGTGCTGAATGATCCTGTTCTCTTTAAGGAGTGGGAGGCGGATCTGCGCACGATGAGTGGCCGGATTTTGGAGATGAGGCAGGGGTTGCGGGATCGTCTTGAGAAGCGCGGTACGCCGGGTTCGTGGGATCATATTACTTCGCAGATTGGAATGTTCAGTTTCACCGGCCTCTCCGAGGAGCAGGTTTTGACCCTGCGCTCTAAGTGGCATGTCTACATGGTATGTTTTGACTTTCTATTTCTTGCGGTGTTCTATGTTTTTAGATATACGTCTGGGTTGCTAACTCTCTTGTTTTCCTACGCAGACAAAGAACGGCCGCATCTCAATGGCCGGCTTGAACACGAATAACATTGACTACTTTGCTGAGGCGGTTGATAGTGTCGTTCGCGAGTCTGCTAAGTTGTAATACCTACATATGTACCTGATACCCCGGTCTCGAAATAGAGTGGAAACACTCGAAGAGACTTGGTTCGGCGTTCTATTTGCTTTTTGAATACAAGTTTTTTTTATGGAAGTTCGGAAGGACCTTTCATCATGCATCAATTTATCATACTCTGGGACTTCGTCTTGGTTTTGCATTTCTGGTTCAGATACACCTTGTGGCTCTGGGTTGGCATTACTTTGTTGGTACCACATGTATCACATGCAAATCAGAGATATAGCAATGCGGCATTGAAATTGTAGGATTAGTTTGTCCGATGGTTTCCAAGGTTCTGTGCGGTGTGTTAGTAGAATTGAGACGTCTTTCGCGTCGTATTGCAGGTGAAAATCTCGATTCATTTGGCCAGACCAGACTGTCAATAGTAACGCCTGTAGGAAGTATACAGCCCAACAATCAAACACAATAACTCTATGTCCTAATTGAGCAAAAGACTTTGAGATAATATGCTACATTTCAATGAAATAGACATAATGGTATCTGGTATCGTATAAAAATGCCTTCACAATACGCTTCTGAGATAAAACATGTTCAGCAGTATCGGGATTAAAAGACCAAATCCCAAACCACAAGCCAGGTACACAATCCGACGGTACCCCAGAAGACGGCCTGCGCCGTACTCCGTCGCTCAGTAGCACGCTTTAGCTCACGATTTCCCTGCCCGACATTCGTTTGCGTCGTATCCACGTCCGAGACAAGCTGGGAAATATATTCCTCCTGCGTAGCGAGGTGAGAGACAAGTGTTTCCTGCAAAGAGGAGATCTCCAGGAGAGATTTCTCGGCATTTCTAAGAGCATTGTATTAGCATCATCCTCCAACAAAACCAACGCGAAACCTAGCAATATCAAATAAGAAACAACATACTGGACCTTCCCCAACGTATCCTCATAATGCCTAAGCATAGAATCATTCTCCTCAGCAAAAAGCTGCAACTGCTCTGGCGAAAGCTGCGCCTCGATCTGCGCCGTATCCGCCTCACTCAGAACCGCCGCATCAGGCGGCTGGAAAGCAGGATCAAACGAGCCCGCACCCGCACCCCCAGGTCTAACTCCAGAACCACCCCTCTCCGACACAGAAACAGACCCGTTCCGAGCCATATTCCCAGCAGGCTTCCCCGCACTGACCTTATAAAGCACACTCTTCTCCTTCTCCCGCACCCTCTCAATCCTCTTCTCGACCATCCGACGTTGCGCACCGACAGCACTCTCAAGCCCGCGCCTCAGGAACCAAAGTACGCTCTCGCGGACCGTCGCTGTCGACCGCGCGCTCTCCTCTGCGCACACCTGCTCCGCGGATTTACCCTCGTCGGCGCTGTTGTCAAGCGCGCCGCTTCCGCTGGCCCAACGCCAGATGAGCGCTCCTGCGGCGGAGTGGCCGTATTTCTTGTGGAGGAGGGTGGAGGAGGTTTCTTGGCGGAGGGTTTCGGCGGAGGAAAGGTTTGCGATTGAGGTTGCTAGGTCACGGAGGAGGAGGGCTGTTGATGTGTCGACTGCGTCACGCTCGGGGTCTGTAAGGTTTGTTTGTGGGGTTGCAGTTGGTGCATTTTTGGAGTTGATATTTGGGTTTAGGTTGCGGCGTTGTGGTTGTGTTGTTGAGAGGTAGGCGTGGCGGATTGATTGTAGGTATTGGAGGAGAGAGTTGATATGTGAGTTCTGCGGGGCTTTTGTTAGGTTTCCTTTCTGCTTTGCTAGGGTTTGGCTATGGGTGTGAGTGCGGAGGCGTGGCTTACGATTCGGTATGCCTCCTTTAGGAACTCGTCGGCAGTTTCTGTGTAGGGGTTTCTCGTTTGGGGGATTGATGAGCCTTGCTTTGAAAGCAGGTTGTTGAGGGTGGGTGTTAGGTCGGTCATTGTGGGAGTGACATGGTCTGAAATGTGTGTGGTTTTGTTGCTATCCAACTGTACACTTGTCGATCAACATTCAACGTCACTGCGCGGGTGGTCTATCCCGCACCCCGTATTTGTTTGTGTCTGGATGAGGAATGTCACCAACCATATTAAATTGTCTTTTGCTTCTCTTGCTTTTCATCATGCAACTCATCACTTCTCAAGTATTGCATCTACACAGAACTAACCCACCCGTATAACTATCATCACATCCATCTACAATGGAGGAAGCTCAAGTCCACTGGAGAGAGACAAAGACCAGGGAGACCGATACTGAACAGGAGACTGGAGGTGGAGAGGCGGGTGATTTTGTTTTGGACATCTAACCAGCGCCTTAAAACAAGTCTGAACTGAGACAAATCAACCACATGACATATCAACATATTACCTGCCTGGTTAATTCTGGAGCTTTCACGAGATTTAAATACATTATAGAGCATGGCTAGGTATAACCACGAAACTAGAAGTCTGATACAATATAGTTGTCCACAAGTCGCGATTGACAACCCTACATAGGGATTAGCATCACATACGTATGTATTACTCTTGATCAGAGACACGTCCGTTGATAATGATTTAGACGAAGGTTAATCCTAAATCAACTTGCGATTGGCGGAAACTACCATGTCTTATACCTGTGACGTTAAACGTATCGTTTTAGACAAGGAATCAGCCAGGTTTCAGATATGTCGGGCCAGATGTCATCGCAGTGACACAACTTGGTAGTTTGCCTCTATTGTATCAAATATATTTCTTGCTTAAAAGCGACTTCACTTCCCTTTTCTAACAGTTATCAAATACAACAATTCCATCATATGCGCAGCCAAAAATGGCACATTCACCTCGAAACACACATCCAGCAGCAACTTCTGCTGAGCTGCCCACCGTACGCTCGACACCACCCATCACGCGGTCAATCACTTCATACTCCATACCTCGCCAAGAAGACTTAGCGTCGAGCTTTGGGAATGCCACCGATGCCACCGATGACCAAATCCACGACTACCACTACCAAGTCAAAGCAACTCTTACAAACATCCTCAACGACGACCGAGTGAAGCACAATCCCAGCGGAAGCCGCTGCATACAGAGGATATTGTTGGTAAACGAGCAAGACATGCGAAGACGACGAAGACATTCGCTCAGCACATGTGCTGCTAGGCGAACAATGCTATTTTGAACGTACCAGTAGTACAAGAATCAATGTCCATGCTTCCCGTTTCCACCAGAGTAAATGATTACTAGTAGATTACTCTTCAGTCTCGACATCTCAAAATTTGCAAGTCTCTCCGACTACCTGCAATGTTCTCTTAAGTTTGGACTGGAATTGAAACAGAATCATTTAGTATTTCTCATGCATTGGTCATATTTCCATGCTAAATACGCAAAAGCAAGGGTATAGGTAAAATCATGCTAATATCAACAAAGAAATCCAATCGCCATGCATCAAATCATTGAGCGCTCTTCTACCCATATCTAAGGACAACACCAGTCAGAAAAAGCCGTTACCAAAAAAAGGATAAAGGACAGATAGACTCACCTCGATCTTCCCCATCTCACTACCTTCCCGTCGTGCGACCTCCTTTGCCGAACTAACTAGTAGATCTAGATCTTCCTGGTCTACCATGGTAATCATGTCCCCATCATCTTGCACCTTCATCTTCAGAGGACATTTGAAGCCGAACTTTTCACGAATGCGATTTTCAAATTCCCCGAACTCAATCTTCGGCCCAATCATGATATACCTGGTATCGTCGGGGGCGTGTACTTTCGTTCTGAATTTCTGAATCTCAGGTCTTCGCGGATTCGCATGGCGAGAGTATCGCGCCGGAGAGCGAGTGCGACGTTGCTGCGGTGACTGGCCCGGACCAGCCGGCGGAGCACCGACAAGCTCGAAAGAACCGTCATTGAGGGTCGTTGCATCGCATGCATCGCTGCCATATTCTTCCTCTTCATCGATGTACTGCGGTGGTTGGTGGCGGGATCCGCGACCCCAGCCTGTGCTAGCTAGGTTGCGCTGGCTAGAGTACAGGTCATGTGGGTCTGTGTGGCCGTAATCGGGTTCCGGTGGGTAGGTGTTTGTGTTTGTGTCGCTGAGATTTCTGCGATGGCTGAGTTGCTCGCGGGTCAAGCTGCTTCGGCTGCTTTCCTGTGTGTATCCACGCATGTTTTGTCGTGAGGATGGTCCGCGAGGCTCTGAGGCTGTGCGCGTCGTTCCTATCCGTGGTTTCTCGGTGGATGCTGGTTCCTGTGGATAGGGTCGGCGGTCTAGGCTGGCACCTGCGCGACCTAGGTCTAGACGTGGTGGGCGGACATTCCGGAGAGATGATGATCGGTGGTGCCCGGATACTGAATGGCTTCCTGAACCAGATGCTGTGCTGACTGATCGGTCGTCTGGTGGTGGTGTTGGGGGGAATACGTTGCGGTTCAAGGGTGGTTCGGATTGTTGACGGGTGCGGCTGCTGAGATTTTGGCGCACTAGGTTGGATGAGGCGAAGGAGACTCCTTCGCGACCTTGGAGGGCTTCTTTGTCAATGGGCATTGGCTTCCATTGATGATCAGATGATTGGTTTCGGTCCGATGCGGCAACTAGTCGAGCCTTGCCTAGGTAGTCTTTTGTCTTGAGATTCTTCACTTTGGCTGCGTTGGGACGATAGAGAACTCCGACTGGAATTGAGAAAACAGTATAGCCCTGTAGCTAGATTAGCTTGTATCGTAGCGGATTAGTAGAGTCCACGTACATCTGCATTCTCGCGAATGGCATCGTCGATCACATCATGGTCCGGGGTAACCTTTTCTTTGGCTGCATACTCGAGATCCTGAATGCCTGGGTCCATTTGTCGGAGGTAGATATAGCAGAGACCCCGATTGAACAGGACTTCGCATGAAAAGAGGCGGAATAGAAGACCTAACTGTTCATAGTCGATGGAAGTATTCCCTCGCAGGTACAGTAAAGTGTCATTAAAGTTGGCCAACGCTTCTTCAAAATCTCCGAGCAAGAAATTAGATACGCCTTGCTGGAAGTAAGCGATTGCCAGATACCGGTCTAGGCTGACAGCACGTTGATAGCATTCTACCTGCGCCAAAATCAATTAGCTGTCGGGAAGAACATCTCATGGGTTCACTTACTGCTTTATGATGCTCACCGAGCGTTGCATAGATCACTCCACAGTTGAACAAGATCTTCGACGTGTCGGCAATCTGATCGAAGCACCGTAGGGACTCTTCAAATTCTTGATTATCGTAGGCATCAAGGGCCTGCACCCATGTTTCGATTTCCTTTTGGGCAATGTCAGCATGCTTAATGTTCCAAGATCACATCAGATATATTTACCTGTTTGAGCGACATTGTCTCGGAATCTAGCAAATTGCTTGTCCGACTCCCCTGTGCCTAGATGATATAGATTGGGGAAAGACTTTGCAGGTACTTTCCATCCAACTCTCTAGGGCACAATAATATTTTCGTAGATGTGCGCCAGCTTGTGGGCTCACCTCCAGCGCAAAGCTGGGAAAGCTCAGGTAATATAATCGGCACCAATGGCCAAGGACTCGGTGTGACGGAAAGACCTTAGGGTTGGCGAAGGGGCCAAGAACAATCTGATGGGGCGGAACGAGGGGAAGACCTCAGAACCGGGTTGAAGTAGAGTAATCCGTGAGGTAATGTGATATCCCGAGATTGACGCGAAAAGGCTGGATACCAGTTGAAATGTATTTATAGAATATAATCTCCTCTAGAGCCGGCGATATCAGATTCGAGAAAGTAATTGGCTTAACCTCTCGACGGTTTAGAGAGTGGAGATGAGGGGCCCAGCGACTTGGGCCCCTGAAGGATTGTATTAGCGGGATAAGGGGGAAAGAAAGAAGGGAAAAAAAAGAAAAGATGATTGTAGAGAAACTAAAAAAATTAAAAAAAGCAAAGAAAAGCCCAAATCTTAGAGAACCTGCAGAGGGGCTGCACGGAGGGGCAGGGGGGAAGACGTACGGAGCACGGAGAGTACTGGAAAGGCTACTTCGACAGAAAAGGCGAGTGATGGGACAAAAATAACCCGCTTTGCTGCAGCAATTATGCACGTCTTGGTCAATAGGATCTCACAGACGGGTTTTCCTTCTGCCGAGCCTGTGAGTGGGCAGATTTTCGACATGGCATCGTATTGTGATCGGTGACACGCCAACTTTACTCCTCAATCGGTCAATATTCCATGGGCTTTGACTCCCTAACCTCTTTTTTTGACTTTCATCTGACTCTATAATTGAACGAACACCCTATCACATAGGATAGACCGCGCCTGGACAGTGCGGGGATTTTCTCTTGGAATTTGAATGCGGTCTACGGAGTATCGCGTGGGAGAAGGATTCATTGGCCCTCGGCCCCCCTGCCACCTCAATTCATTCCCCGCCACGGCGCTTGCAGTGCTTTATTTAGAGTTGAACAGGGCCCGAGTGTATGGATTTTCCAACATCTCGCTACGGGTTCCTCGAAAGGAGAATTCTTCGAGATAGTGCTCCGTACATAGTCCTGGAGCCATCGTGTTGAGGTCCGATGCTCGATCCACAAGACTATATATACACTTCACGACCTTTCCCTTTCCGTTTTAGTGCTCACCTGTGGACGACGTTCGACCCCGTTCCATGGTTCAATTTGAGCTGTGACACAAGCAAAATGACTCGTCCCTCTTCCTTGATTGAAGTGGATGCCTTCTAAGGTTGGGATCTTGGACTGACGGTGACGTGTGTTAGGCTTTTCATTATCTTCTCGCCAAGTCCCAGTCGGTGCTGTACACGGGTAAGAACGGTGGATGACCCAACATTTCACCGAGTTGGCCCACATCGACACCTCGACAGTAAGAAATTGGCCCAGATCAATTGATGTTTATGAACATCCCTCCAAGTTAAACAGCAATACAATTTACTTGCAGGCATAGTCTATACTAGCTGGGGGGTGTCTAAGTGTTGACCTCCCATGGTTCACTTGGGACCGGCCCGACCCGCTCACCAGACATTGATACAAACCGTTGACAGGAGACCATTCTTCGAGGGGAAGAATACCGACATCGAGGAATTTTAAGTCCATCCCGAAGACTAGCAAGCATCTTTCGATCTTGACAGCTCAAGCCAAAGAGACTAGCACACTCTAGACCCTGATATAGCGGTGAATCATAGGCTAGAACCTCTCCGTTGTCCGCCATCACCGTGCGGGGCCTGCAAGGCGGCACAGCTGCAATACGTACAGGAATGATAACATCATGTGAGAAGATAGAGCACTCAGTGAGTGTAAGTTCTCAGGCTCAATTGGGTACTTAGCAGGGCGTGGACGACTTGTAGTTGGATTAATCTATAATTAGCCAGGTACGTGAATGAGTAGTGAGAATGTGCCACTGAGGGGGTTTAGGATGCCAGAGGACGCGTCGATCTATTTTGCCTTCGATATCCTGTTAAGTGGATATGTGTAGGAGCCAATGAGCAAGTCAAGGGAACACGATAAGTCGAAAAGGCCAAGAGGATTAGGACCACAGATGGTCGTTCTAAGCTACGATTGTGAAGGTCCCCAAAGCCATCACTGATGCCATTTCGCTCAAGGATCTAAACATCCTGTTTTATGTTGTCCTCCAAGAATTTATTTGACGAGGGAAACAAGGAATTAAAAAAAGAAGAAAAGGGGTGAACAAACCCAGCGTCGAAAGTGTGAAATATCGACAAGGACTTGCGGTCCTTGGGGTTCACCCGTGAGGTGAGCTAGAGAGGCAGTCTGGAACTGGTAGGGTTCGTGGGCGATCTACCAACTAGGCCACCTGGGCTTGCAATTACTACCCCCCGACTTTTGTATTTATCCACTGTCCCCACGTTCCTTCCCATTAGGCTTATCAGCCAGTTCCAGCAGGAACTTGTCGACGCTTTGAATGTTCATGTGTGTCGTATGTAATTGCTAGATGGTGTCTATGCTTAGATGAACCCTCGACCGTCAAGTCTTCCATCTTCAAATGATGCCATTGGCTTAATGCCACTAGTCAGGCAGCTGACTGATCAGGCAGATACTTGTGATACCGATGCGTCAGCGAGATCCTTTACTTGACTGGGTCCATGTTGACCAAGCCTAAACTCTGGAGCTAAGCCTGATGCACCCTGTCAGACCCACCTAGGCCCACTTAGACATCGCGGATTGAACCACTTGCATTACGTGTGTACCTTACCTACATATGTAGGTACCTTACAGGTCTACCTGCGTGTCCATTGAATGAATTAAGCCTGCTCGGAGGTGCGATAGTGGCCGCCTAATAATAGCCTCGTGTGACCATTGAGAACACAATAAGAGCGGCGTGCAGAACCTTGGCTGTCACTGACGCCTCGGTTTCTAGGCATCTCGTCGGGTTGGTGGACGACCCATCTATCGCGTGCTTCATCTATCGGGGTGGCATATCTCGTCACAGTCCGTGCGAGAAAGAAGAAAACAGTTGCAGGCTCTTCTGCAGGGATATCACTCAAGATCTGCCCATACATGTGTTTCAGCCACTTCCAACGGCCTTCACGCCTATCTCTTCCACGGTGATAGAACGCCCTGATGTGAGTTTTGATCGATATTCCAACCACCTGAGCCATACCAAGCTTCTGAAAAGTGGACATCTTTGCTCGTTTTCAAACAAAGAAAGTGACCAGAGCACCGCAATAAAGGACACGGGGAGCAAGTGCTTGCACAAGAACAAGGATAGATAATCTATTTATATCCAAAAATTAACTAGCTAATGCCGGTAAAGAAATTATGGATGTGATCTCCACGTGGAATACGTAGTGGTTGGTGATTGAGTACCCCACCCCGGCGCTTAAGAGCTTTTTTTGGATCAGCGAAGGTATTCGGAAGTAGCAGGGATAATTCTGTGGTCTTGAGACGGGATTAAATAGCGCTAACTACATTAGACATCGCGTACAATCCAGGTACGTCGAGCAAAATGCAGACATGTTCCCAAAATTCGGCCGAGAATATTACCGGCCGAGGTTGATTATTCAACGCTGAAGATGACTATAGAGATCGAGATATATAGGGAATACTTTATTTACAGCTTAGCAACCATCTTGTTGCCCTTCTGGAGCAGAACAGCGGCATCGCCGACGAGCTCATCAACGATAGCCTTGGCAGGCTTCTTCTCGTTGACAACGGCGGCAACCTTGCCCATCAGGTAGGGACGGGCATTGTCCAAAGTGTCATCGTCGACGTCATCGGGCAAGTTCTCCATGTCGTGCTCGACGGGGATGATACCCTTTGAGGTGAGCTCCTTGATCTCCTCGTGACGGTTCTCCTCCCAGTTGATGATGTAAGGGTTCTTGCGAACACGGAGGGGACGGCCCTATATAATGCGTTAGCAACCAGAATTTGTTGATGTTAACATATCCAGCGGATACATACAGTGAAGATAATGGTACGGATGTTGTCCTCGAAGTCGGAAGTGCGGACAGCCTCTTGGTGAGCGGTGGGGGCACCAGCCTCATCAGACAGGATGAAGCGGGTACCGATCCAGACAGCGGAGGCGCCGAGCATCAGGGCAGCAGCAACGGAGTTGCCGTTGAAAAGACCACCGGCGGCGATGACCTGCACGGGCTGGCCGGTCAGAGGGCTCTTCTTGCCCTGGACCAACTTGGCAACGGTGGGGATGAGGACGGTGGTGGGGACATCACCGGTGTGACCACCTCCCTCGCCACCCTGGGCGCAGATTATATCAACGCCAACATCCAGGGCTTTCTGGACGTGCTTGGGGTGGCCGATCATGTTCATGCAGAGGATGCCGGCACCGTGGAGCTTCTCGACAACGGCCTTAGGGGGAACACCGACGGCGGAGACGAAAAGGCTGGCCTTTTCCTGGATGACGATATCGACCAGCTCACCGAGCTTGCCCTTGGTGTAATCGTAGCTATTTGCCGAAACAAAACGCGATTAGCATGTGCCAACAAATGGGAAAATGACCCCAGCGATCGAGTTTTCTTACTTGGTCTTGCGGGCACTGCCGCCAACCTGGGGGAGGAGAAGGTCGACACCAAAGGGAGCGTTCTTGTCCTGCAGGTAGCTCTTGAGTTCGGCGATTTGTTCGCGGAGCATCTCGGGGGTGTAGCCAACGCCACCGATCACACCCAGACCACCGGCGTTGGTGACAGCGGCGGCGAGCTTGGGACCCGCAGCCACGTTCATGCCTGCCAGCAGGACGGGGTGGTTGATCTTGAGAAGATCAGTAATCGGGGTGCGGATTTGTTCTGTTCAGTGGTCATGGTTAGCATCGGTCTTGAGGCCATGGGCCCGTGTGGAGCCATCAGTTCAGTAGAAGGGGATCACATGAAAATAATGGGCAGAATATATATAGGGGATATAAGTCACTTACGAGGAGAAGCCATTATGAAGATATGTGGAGTGAAGGTGTAAAAAGAAAACCTGGGGAAGAGAAGGATGGGGTGCAACCACCCTTAAAAGCAAAGCAACCTCGGTGGTTCACAGACTCGCGATGAGCCTCGGTCCACACGACTTGACCGAGATTAGTCACGACGTTACCACGCGCGGAGAGCGGGAGCGGGGTCTAAAGTTGACACCTGAGGCAGAACTCTTCACGTGCCTGGCCAAGAGGCGGATTCCTCGACTCCTGTACACTCGTGGACCATCATCCAGGATGTCCTGTCATCCAAATTGGCCTTAATATCCGTCATATACTGCAGGTATCTATGGCCACAGCATGTCGGCAACGAAGCCAGCACATTGGATAAATAGTCCATGTGTAACACAGCAAGGGATTTGTGCGATTTGGATTCTCCTTATCCTCCTTAGAGTCTATGATGTGGCTGGATGGCCCTTTGCGACTTTTCTTGCAGAAGAAAATGCCAATTTGATTCATTGCTCTCGAGGTCTAAAGGCCACTCTTGGCAGTCACATCTCACACGGTTAAGTCTCAGGAGTATATTATTACAAAGACACATATACCACAAAGGACGCAGGACGGATGCTATTGAGGAAAATGGATAAACAAAGGGAGATTCGGAGCAATTATCTACCGAAAATGGACCTATCTAATTGTGGGCACTAGTCCCCCCCTAACATGAAGCATCACACCATGTTTGCCAACATGTTTTATCCCCCTCTTGTGGAACTGACCCTAGTAAGATTATTTGATGGAGAAAATAGACGACGAAAAAGGATGCTGCCATGTGCGTCGACAACTGATAGCGGAGCGAAGCGGGAGAAACACCATGGATTGACTTAGCTGCCGCTGGAGAGAGGGACAGTCAAGGAGTAAAGCAGGAGTGAAGGAGGGAGAAGAGATCCCGGGGAGGACGCAAGCAAGGCCCTAATATACATATGTATGCTTGACAGCCCTAACAAAATCATCGGACTCATAATTCTCTTTAAGATGATTGCTAAATCCGAATCCCCCTGATAGAAGGAACTCTGTTGAGACGTGCAGGGCGAACCAGAAAGTCAAATCATTTCTACACCCAGATAGCCGAGATAGATTCTTTTTCAACACATTCTTGTATCGTACTAGTGATACTTGATAAGCTCACTGCTAC